TGGATCTGTTATGCAAGGCAAAGACCTTTAACAGTGGGTCCACGGAGGACCGAGGCGGGGTGTGGCGACGGTAAATGGTTCTGGGCTCAAAATGAAGGATCCTTATGATTTTCAGAATTTTCCGATTTTTTTTCGCTGAGATATAGTGAAAATTCCCAAGTGGACCTATAATTAGTGCCAGCCCAGAAAGTGATAAAGTTCCCTAGAATCCCTAGGATCCGGCGGAGGGGCCTCATATTGGGGGTTTTGTTTGCTATGGATAGGCAATCAAACGCCATATTTGATATTTTTTGATTTTGCCCCAGACTACCTACACCCGGATACCTACAGTGGACCTATAATTAGTGCCCACGCTGTATTGTGGCTTAGTAATATTTAAATTCGAGAATACCCCCAAAAATATTAGAGAGGATTCGTCTTCCTACTCCGAGTCATATCGAAAACTCTGCATTGAATTATATAGCCTGAGCATTCAAATAAGAAAACGAGCAAGAAGGCAAATAAAAATAAAATAAATTTGAGGAAATTAACATATTTGTCAATACCATCACGACTATAAATATTTCTAATCCATTCGTGTGCAATTGGAGTTACTCGAAGAAATTAATTTCCAGTCAAAACTATCTGTACATGTATCGGGACGAAAAATGTGCGTGCAGTTAGCATAGACCCATAAATTAAATAAAGCCATATTGCCACATACAATTCAAATCATTCCATAATCTCTCTTTCCCTCACTTTACTATACATCAGTAACACTTCCCCTCAGATCCATTTAACTATCATTTTACAGAGTGAAAACATGGTATAGCATAAGCTGAAAACTAGGACAAATTTGCCTATAATTTATTCAATAAATAATTTCTCTAAAGAATACATTGCAGATTCAGTTGCAAGTATTTGAAGTATTAATTTCACTATTTTTACAAAAATGATTCTGTAATAGGTATAGAATTATTGAGTGAAACATATATTCTCTATTAACTCTGCTTACTTTAGAACCAACCCTTTGATGAATTCCATTACCAGCAAATGTAAAGCGTTAAGAAAGTTTGCCAACATCACTCAATATACACGTATGCATATTTAGCTTCTTAAAGCTCTAAAACGTTAAATCGCCTGAATGTAGAGGGACAGAGTAGGAAGTGTGTTCTAAAATCAGTCTCGTGTGGTCTCGTGCCTTTAATATCGAAACGTCTGCAATTATGTGTAATTAATGCTATTTAAAAGGCAATTTACGGAATTCAATGCATGATTGATAATCACAATTTGAGCAAATCGTCTGTCTAAGTGCATTAATCAGACAGTCATAAGGCGTAAGCTTTATGAAGAAATTTTTAAATGAGAAATAATTGTTTTATGTTTTTAGTTTTACTACTTAGGTTTTCTTCTGCAGTGAAAAGGATTAATGTTTGTACTTTTTATTATAGGGAGAAATTGCAGCGATATGATGCTTTCCGTGAAATTCCTCTGCCATGATGATCATAGTGCTGAGTAAATTGTGTGAATCCCATTGAAATCAATTTCATCTTCAACGCACAAAAGACGAAAAAACAGAAACCTTCACAGATCGTTTGTGCTAAAAAAGAGGCAGCAATTATAGATGGAAATTGAAGATTTAAAATGGTCAAATATTGTTGTGAAAGTCACCGTATATTGCTTTAAAAGTCTTGATTACACTTTATTAAATATGATTATTTTTCGACGGTCACCTCAGAAAAGCCACTTTGAAGGCATCGCCAGAGATGATTGAAAATGAGATTTCTTCTCATACTCATTGGCCACATAAAATATTCACACTTTCAATCAATTTTCATATGAAATAGTGCATAACAGTGTAAACTTATTAATTAAAATCTGCCAATCAGACGGTGAGAGATGTATGAAGAGAAAGATGGTGATAAAATTCAAGTCATTTCACCCAATGGATTAAAAAAATAACCCCTACGGTAACAGATTACGTGTTCAAATGCTGGGAATAAATTTTACGCGACGTCACACGCGAAATTTTCTATCAATTCCTTCATGTTGAGTGCAATAACTGGTCCACGAATTGCTCAATGTTTCAATGTTGAACCACCAATATGCCAAGATCAGAGATTTTACTTTCACTTGAATCTGTCGCAATATGTTGACGGTGATAGTCTTTTTTCTCCTTATTTTTTTGGGAAGAGAAGACAGAGAGAAGAGTGTGAAAACCGGCTGGGATGGTGCAAAAGAGTTGGTGGAAAACAGCCGCACTCGTCAAAATAAATAACCGACAAGTCATCGACTCACGGCATACAATTTATTAATGATTTACATAAATAATAAAAGAACCGCTTTAATACATTTCTCTTGATTGGCATAGAGGCAGTTTCTAAGATTTTCCTGTGCCCACGAATTACTTGGCAACGAACGACACATGATTAACGGATACCCGCATAAGGTATGTGAGGTGGAGAATGACGGAATAATTAATTAGCAAACTGTCGTATTTTGTAATTGTTGAAAGGGATAATTTCACCGTAATCTTATCTAATTGGCCTTCTGCAAGATATATTTTCACAACACACATGACCTCCAATTAATCATAGTTGGCATTCCAAAATATCGATATTTATGATTATGAGCTAAATTCCCCTGCATAACGCTATTGGATATTTTATTGACCTGGAAAAAATTACCATTTGACCAAAGACTTCTGCATCAAGACATTTGTCAGTCTTTTGTCCCAGAAAAGAGACTCTTCTTGACACCAAAAGTAGGTTCAATTAGCACATCTATTAGCTTTTCCAGGTCGTGAGACTACATCTGTCATTCATGAATTATAAACGCACATTTCTTTCTATGTTCAAATGAATAAGATCAAAAACTTTTGTCTACGCACAAAATTTAAATCAAATACAGCAGAGCATTTTTGAATTCATAATTTTCGCACTCAGTGTCAAGTGGAAAACTTTGGCAAAGTGGATTAATAACGGGAAGATCTACTTCGGGTTATTTAAATGATTAAATATCATCCAGTTCGATACACTTGAACAAGACACTGTAATATGTCTAGTTGGCAAATTCAGATGCAACTGTTAAGAAAAACTGGTTGAATGGTTCAACATTCACCATTTCTCTCCACGCACAGGGAGAATAAATAAATCTAACGACATTTCCTCCACAGCTCTATTAGAGATTTTGCGACAAAATCTCTACATGAGGTCTTGCGCTTGATTGAGGTCTTTTAGGTAGAGCGAAATATACTGTCCCTATAAAATTTTATGCATTTTAACGGGAGATTAATGTCTGAGCACGCGCAATTTCAGTTCAAATTATAGATTCTATACCGTGTACACTGATTTATTGTCGATTTCACTTGAAAGAACAACTCACGATTGGAAATTTCTCACATTTTACAATTTTATTCCTCTTCACCACCTCACTGAAACCACACAAGTTCAATCACGAAATGAATGATAAAATAATCTCTCCAATACTACTTTTCCCACCAAATTAACCTCTCACCGGACGAGAATTAATGGGCTTCTAGAACTAATTCACCGAAATTTCAAATGATTTTCCACAGACCATAAATATGCAAAAAGAGACTCTCTTCTCCACATCTGATGTATTAACCCACTTAATCACCCGCATTTTAAATCTTCTACTCTACAGTCTACACTATGTAGCATCAAAGTAGAATTTTGTGATTTGAGGCCATTATTCTGTCGAAGTCTTCTTCGAGATTTGTAGTAAAACTTGTCATTGAGCTCTCCAAATTAGGGTAACCAGAAATCATTCACGTGTCTCGGCACTTAGCCTTCTTCTCGCGGAAAATGTATGCAAAGAATCCATGTGAAATGAAACACAGATAGAAATTTATTCAAAATATTTCAAATTTTTTTTCAATTGTAAATGTGTGAATAATCTTAATTAACATTAAACAGTTTGTATCAGTAAATTAGTAAATAAAATGCAATTAATCATTTTATGGAGAAATTGCGCAAACCCTTGGGGGAAATATAAAAGGCAATTTATATACACTGCAATTTTAATGGTCCTTATCAATATGTATATGAACTTGACTGTGTATTTCTTAGTGGAACTCCTTGATCTTCTCTCCAAAGGCTTTACAAATTTGACTGAAACATCTCAGGTGGAATATTTTATTAAACTGATAATGAATTTAAATCAAATACAAATTCCACCAATTAACATTTAAATAAACAAATTATTCGGATTAGATTTACTATTTCAAATGTCAGTCGCATTTCTTATTATTTTTTTTTAGCCAAACAACAAAACTCCTGCATATCAATACACTACTTCGACACTTATTTTTGAATCTCTATGGTTTCTCAAATGAAATGAAATTAATCATCAGTATAACAGCACGAATTCTATACCCGTAAAATATTCGCAAATATGCATCTTAATGAAAGGTATTCTATCAAGATTGCACAACTAATTTAATTTAAATAATTTTCTCCCAGTTTCCCATTCGAATTGACTTGGGTGATTCAACACACACCGTTTCAGCCTGAGAACGACGACTAATTTCCTTTCTTGGCGGCATTAATTATACCATAAGATTCCGCTTTTCGACTAAAACGTTCGATTAATCTAATCATTAGAACCATTTCGCAAATTCTCAGGACAGAAGACATAAAACATATTGATCTAGCGATATCTTTAAATAGAGTTGAGCATAAAATATATGTACAAAATGTATGTACCATTGATTAATGTACAATTCCGCTACTGATCATTTCTTCAAAGAAGATCAATTTATGCACTTGTGTTCTCATTCCCCCCTTCGTGATCGCGATTCTTTTGCATGACTGATGATAAAAGGAAATTTGTTCCTGGGAAAAAATGAACCACATCAATCAGTTTTATCATCATCATTTCATCGAGATACCAAATTATATAAATCACTCAATCAACATTGTACAATGGCGAGGGAAATGGTCATTGACATATTGTGTATGTACGTATTTATAAAAGTAAATGGACATTATGATTGTTACCTTTCTGCTACCATAGCGCCGCATTTGTGCTCTCTGGGCATAATTGGCAGAACTCCACTGAGGGTCGACAAAGTCTTGAAGTTCATTGTTGATAGTCTCAATGTCTAAGTCACTCACGTTGTTGGCACTTCCACTACGAAATCGCGTATACCTCAACGTTGACGGATTGCGAGGAGCACAATTTTGATTGCTCACCACATGGCATCGGAATAAATCATCCAAATTTGGTGTTGAATTGCGCTGCACCGGGGCGGCGCCGTAATTGTACAATTCATTCCTGATGGAAACACTCCTCTTCGGCGGCTCCGGCGGCTTCCGATGAACCCTTTCTCGCTCATACTTAACGTTGGCATTATTATTGTTCTTCTTTACATCAACCTCCGCGACCCCATAGAAGACACTATTTAACTTGTGTCGACTCCTTGTGCCATATTTGTCATGTAGATAAAATGGCTCATGTGGACGATCGTTTTTGAATGATAAATCGCCATCGTAGGCAATAAACTCACTGTGGATCTTTTCACTAAGCTTTCGTTGAATGGGATTTTCAGTGTAGTCGCATTTCTTGTAAGGAACCTCTGGCTTCTTTGCACTAATTTGTGGTCTTTTGTTGTTCAGTTCCTCATTCTTAGCGAAATTCTCAAAATTCTTCCTCAACTCCTTCACGATATTCCGTCTATTATCCGAGAATAGATAATGGCGATCAAACTCATCCAAATTAAAAGAGTTTATGCGATTAATGGGTTTATTCTCCTTCCATTCCTTCTCCAGTTTCACCTGTGGTGATTCCGTTGTGGTTGATTGAAAGAGGTCTTTTGTACTTTTGTACTTCTTTATCAGAGTACCTCGCCATCCATCAGTTGCTTTTAAAAAGGAATTACTCTTGGTCACCTTTGCACCACCGCCGTTCTCATTTCCTACTTTTGTCGGACTATAGTCACTATATATGCAATTATTCAAATTTGCAAAGAATAGATTCCGTTCGCTGCTGAATTTCTTGATCTTCGACGAGAGCACCTTGTCGATCTCGCTTGTCTGATCCGGCACAATATACATTTTAATCTTATTCATTCTTGCTGTGTTGTTTTATTCGGAAAATCGGGCCACAACACACAAATTTATACACTTTTCCCACTTTTAGATAAATCACTTGACTGGAAAGCACAGCAGAAAGCATCCAAAATTCACATTCTATCTCTGTTCTTCACACTCATCTCGATGCATTGTTGTTCAGGCTAATGAAAGTATAATTTCTCATCTATATAAATAAACTTCATTACTACCGTCCTCTATGCCTTAAATTGCAATTGGTTATGCTTTGGCCAACATTGTATCATAATACATTAAATTAATTGCATTTAAACCGTCTTATGGTATTCCAGATTTTCCCCTCAAACCTCAATTAATCAGAAAAATACCCACATTTTAACCATATCTATCCATACCGGTCATTAGAAAACTATATTGAAAAATGAAATTTGGCGCACATCAAAACCATTGTTGGTAAGATAGAAATCTTAAGTAAAGACGGAAGTTATTCTTTCTTTCAGATCTTTTTTACTGTACCATCGACAATTCGCTCTCTCTAACATCTTTTTTTTTCACCTTCCATAATAGTGATACATGAGATAACTATTAATTCAATCAGTGATGAAATTGAGAAAAAAAGTTGATTGCAAAAAATGAGCTAGAAATTTTTCATGGGCAGAAAAAAATGATAACAGCTAGATTAACTGTCACCCAAAAAGAGATGAGAGAAGATTAAAGGAATATTTAAGAAGCATCACAGATTTCAGCTGTTCCCCTAACTACTGAATATAATTATAACTGTAAAACAACATGTTCGATTGTACTATTGCATTTTACATGTCTCCTCAGAAACACTATCGATAGCATTAATGAATGATCATCCTCTTGGAGGTGAGATTGCGGAAATTCTTTCTCATTGCGTACAGTTGTGAACGCATGCGAAAAGACTACACCGTGGCTCAACCTCGATGACCAGTGACAGAGATCACATACGGTTCTGCTTCATAAAGGTTGATTTAGTTGAATAAACAGGACATGAGAATTGCCCTACGGTGTATCGATGAATATTAAACCATCCTCGCTTTCTTCAGTATCACATCAAAATTTCCCCTTTCTAGCGGATATCTTGTGTGTTCAGCAGGAACTGGTTTAGTTATTTTTTCTCTTCATGTAAATATACCGTCCGTGTAGTAATTTCTACTGACCCCCAACGGGATAATCAGTTCAGAAGGAATATAAAATTCAATAGATAAAAACAGTTAGGAATTAAATGGGCAATATTGAAGGATTTAATGTAATGAAGTAAATCACGAGTATAGATGATATTCACCTTGTAATTTTGATCAATAAAGTATTGATTTCTCTTCCGCAAATATCAACTTTGGATGCACAATATTGCGTGAGTGCATACGTCTTATCAACAGATACTTTCAGTAAATACCTACAAGCTTGAGATGCATATTAGATACTATTATTATTATTATGAAACAACATTCTCATCTCGCTAGTAATCACAGTACAATTGCAGACGCATAACATATATTGAGATGCATCCAATAATATTCTCATGTTCCACGATAATGTATAGGGTGTATAGGCATAGAAGGAGAGAGAGAGAGAGAGAGACAGTGAAGATACCATTGGAATCATAATCGATCACTTGAACATTTGAATTATTTCGAAAGTCCCATGCTTGCAACTCGCACATAAGATGTTCTCATTGCACCATCACCTCTTATAAAAATTATTAACAATTTGCAAGTGCATTTCATAAGGCCACTTCAGCTCTCTTTATTATTTTTATACCCAGACCATCTCTCCTCTCCATAACAATATTCATATAATATGAAACGTATCTCTCACTCTCTTGGGCACACGCCAGGCAGAAAACCTACATAAAGAGCAGTTTCAATTTTTCGCAACTCTATGGGAAAGGTAGATTCAATTGACAAATTACATGATCGAAGTGGATGGAGAAGAAAGGAGATAATTATTTTTGTGTTTTCATATGTAACAAATATTCTCGCATGTCATTTATGTAATATCGCCTTTTCCCCATATCTCCACAACTTGCAGTCTTGTGTGCTTATTCTGAAATTGGAAAACCTGCCTCCTGGTCTATTTACACACATTTCATAATTCATCTTGAGCAAATCTGCTCCTCACCAGAGTGCATATGTGGCATATCTATCCACTTGTTAAACTAGAACAGCAATTTACCGGATCTCTCTTACATATATGCGCGATCTTACACACTTCTTTCATATATGTAAGATCTGCCTTTCTTTACTGTAAAGAATTCCTTCGCAAGAATTTCATTCTGTGCTCTCGATATCATGCATTCTTTCCCCACCTTCTTATTTATACAATATTCCTTTTGAAGCATCTCTTATGTAATAATCTGGGGTGATAGTAATAAGCTACTTAGTGCCGGATTTACTGGCAAGATATCAAAGTACGGGTGGGTTTCCCGCTTCTTTGCTTCTTATTACAAATTTTGACAAAGCTCATTAATTACAATTTGCATAATTCTATGAATTTGAGACTTTAATGTGAACGTTCCGTTACATTGGACTGTTTCTTTAACCTCCCAGACTGAGAGTCTCCACAAGCACTCTTGGCTTATAATAATAATAATAATATGCAAGTACGGGAGAGAATGTTATTCCAGTTGTGGTGAACAACATTACAAATATGCTGAAGCGGTTAAAATTATGAAACTTAGTCAAACACCGTATTTTTATTATTACATTTCCTCACTGCAATTGGTACACCTGTTGCCTCCGCACCTCATATCAATATCAATAAGCCAAAAAAAAAATATCTCAGCAAAGGTGAACAAAACCATTTAATGCCCTGATTTGGTAACGGATAAATATGATATAACCAGAGGGGATGCTAAAGCCAATAATCCAATATGTAAATGCTCTAAAAATTTCCCTCAAAACTCCGGTGAAAGCCGCAAAATTATAATAAATTTCTGACTTTTTTGTTATTTATCGATGGCCATAGCATAATTCACTGCAATTTAACTAACTTACATACCACTTCACAATAAAAAAAACAAGTTGAAGCTCTTCACAAAAGAGGCAAGAAATCTGCATGAAAATTGAGGAGATTCGCGTAGAAAATGATGGTAAATTCAAAAGTGAAAAGTATGAGGAAGAGAAGCATTATTCTTCATCAATTTTATATTAAGTTGTTGTGCTTTTATTATTTCCATTAGCAAATACTTAATGCAATTCATTGTCTCTATTAATGAAGCAAACTAGAAATATTCACACTTTTATTTGTGATTCTCTTTCCTCTATGTAATCCGTAACACATGCATTTAGTACATATTTAATTTGGTATTCACTTTTTGCACACCACTCTATTCTTCAACTGGATACAAAATGCCTGCGAAAAGTGCCTCGTTTTTGTTCTTCACTGCAATGGGAAATTTTTTAATTCACTTCACTTTCATCGAACATGATCTTTATAGAACACAGGGTATTATTTTATGAATTTAAACACATTATAAAGAAAATTGGTTCACAATTTCCCTAATGATGGTTCGTATTTTTTTTTCTCACTTCGCATTGAGGAAAAGAAACTTTTGCGTGAGCGAGCGATAGAGAGTTGTGGAGCACGTAAACAGCCACACACAATGCGCTCTCTGCAACAACTGATCTTCAACTGGCAGAGATTGTGAGCGCGCATCGTATCAAAACAGGTGAGCCATCATCAACCAACGGTAAGTGAAAAGTTTGTGGGGAGTTGTACACTGTACACCGCGAATAGCGAAGCTCACAATGAAATACACTCAATATTTTATCTATTTCTTTTCTACTCACAGACACACCATGGCGTCGATCGCGACGGAATATCCACAGGAGATCATTTGAGATCACTGTTGCGAATCTCTCAAATATATTCTTATCAATTTCCCTATTAGATACACCACAGCAGTATTCCGGAAAATCAAGCTTATGCAGTTGCTTTTCCTCAAACCAAGTGCATATTAAAATTTTATGCTCATGCCGCGGAATTACCGGAGACAATTTACAGATCATTTCAAATACTTCTCACAGCATGGATCATTCGGGGTTCTTCGATGTTCACGGTTTTGCAAAATTAATTGCTCACATAATATTCAGACAAATGGAATGATCCGCTGTTCAATGGCACTGCTTTGCTTTTTTCTTTGCTTTTTTACGATGCCTTTTTCAAATAATTTCACTTGTCTAAATTGGAAAAGATACTCACATGAGTGAGAAATAATGTCCACTATCTCTCCATTGAGGAAAACGATGTTCACAGTGTGTTTAAGACCGTGCACACAATTTTATACACCAAGTCAATTAAAGATGATGCCAATAGAATTTCCATGTACAGCCGTCACATTTGTCAAAGAGTGCACACCTTCTCCCTTTGGGCATTTTACAAGAGATAATCCCATCAACTGACCAACGCACGCCAAACCTCTATTGGAAGTCTTGGAAGACGTGTTATTGAACCCAAGATGAGATTTTGCAATTTCTTATCTTTAACATTTCTATCTCGACATAAAGTGTCTAAGGAAAAGAGAGGCTCTCGTATTGTAAAATATTTTTACTATTTCACCTTCATTGCCAACATACCAAATAAATTATTTTAGCAAAGAGTATTTTAATTGCCCTCATCCTCATTTTTCCATGCCACCAACATTCGCCAAAGTACCAAAACCTCTTCACCGCACATCCAATCGCAAATGTAGCAGAAAACATTTGTGCAAAGTGAATGGATAGAAAATGTGACCACTTTGCGTTTGTTATTTGAGATATTCGTGGTTGAAGAGAAAATTGCACAAGTTATACATTCATTTTCTAGTAGAAATCGTATTCATTGCACTATTGAGTCGTGAACTTGACACTCGAAATGCGTCGTTAGACGTATTTACTAAATTTTAAGCAGATAAGCTCAGAAACTATTTATTTTCACCTTGTACTTTATTATGCATTGTGAATTTTTGTTTTGTTTAATTTCTCCTCTGTGAAAACTAAATGCCAGTAATCGTCTGCCAATGTTCCAAAGGAATTTCAAACAAAGTAATGTACCTTTCGTCTGGACGTATATTTAGTTACCAAACACATTTTTGACCGTGAAAAAAGTCAATTAACCCACATATGTATCACATTGATATGCTTTTGACCAGCAATTCACAGCTTCATGAGTTCCATTTTTTTTTCTTATTGTTGAACGAGCTTCTGGGAACAAAAGTCATCTCACAAGTTATGATATTCACTACACATGCTGAGACAAATAGCCGAAATGACGATGTTTGTGAAGACAGTGTTGCTTTCTTGCACAAATCCCAAGAAGTCTCATGGGAATCATTCATTTGAAGAAGCGCCACATGCGAAAAAATACATAAATCTACTAACTCACTTTCGATGTTACTTTTAAACCGTACGTCGTAGCTTCAATTTTAAAATTCACAAGCTATCCATTGAGAAACAATAAATGTTCCACTTTTTCTCTGGCAATCTCCAGGCCACACACGAGAAATTGTTGATTGTTTCACCAATTGGTGACAATTATAATTTCTCCTCATTTTTGGAATTACTACATTTTTTCATGCCACGACGGTGGCTCTCGCTATTAGGGTCTTCTCATCAATCACACAGCACTTCCTTGAACTTGTCGTGTAATCTCGTGACAGAGGAATTTACTTTACAGCTTCATTGTGGCCAAGGGAAAAATATATGATAAACCTTCTGAATACTTCAGGCTCACGGGAATCGTGATTCTACATTATCTTACACTTCACACTCATCGCAATAAACCATCAGTACCGTAAAGAGCTCGATTGCAGAAATGGTCGAATGCAAAAGCTGTGATTCCAAGAATCATAGTTGAACTTGTAAAATTGCATTAGTTGACCTACCAGTTCCCGCTAAAGCCGCAGATAATCTTTATCTCGCTATGGAGGCGTTCACGAAGCACTTGAGTAATGCAATAGAAGGAAATTACCATCTATCATTTTGCGAAATCTGCATCGAATGCATCAACTTCTTTAGACGTATTAGCAGTGAATTTTTTTTTTGCTACAAGTTAGGTGAAAGTCAATTATTATTTTTATGCTCTCCTGCTTCTCTCACATGATTTGCCATTTGCACACAAAGAAGCCACCCATTTGGGACTGTTTTCGATGCACACCTCTCGCTATCATCGCATATAAATTTATGTGTCCGCAGTAATATATATCATTTGATCATCAACTGCCACTTCAGTCACCCCAAAATGACAATCTTAAAATTTACTGTGAACTTCTTGCCCTCATCCATTCATCGTCTTATACAGCAAGTCGTCTTATGTTGCGATGACGTGTGAAAATCATTATTCAAATACATCACACGATATACCTACTTCATTTCATTTGAAAATGAAATCCATTCTTTTGTTCTGCTAAATGATTTTGCATGATAGTGTCTCATAAAACGTCGTATCATGTAATTTTCTTCGTGTCGGTGGATCAAGAATGAAATCTCAGCTCCCAGTACAGCGAAAAGGAGAAAAAAAAACTAACTGCCAAACTCACTTTCATTCCCATTCTTCACTCGCGAGTTAACCAATTATCGCCTCGTTTAGCTCTATCTTGATTGAGGAACAACAATTCATGTATAATTAATTTCCTCTACAAGAATTCCCCCGAGGTAGTTCCCAAAATCGATTGACTGACTCACTTTTGGTAGAATTCGGTAAATCCCGAGCGTCGGAAGAGATCTTGATCGATTTCTCTTGGCACATTTCATTCCGTACATCACTATTTATCGTCTATGCGTGCGGTATTTATTTATCAATATGTTTTTATGAACCGACCCGAAACAGAGTATTCTCAATGGAATTTATTGTTCAGCACACAAAGTTCCAACGGAAGGATCCAAATTGGTGACCAGCGAAGCGTAACATTTCAGTGACGGATTCAAACTGATGAAAGATACCATCGTGAATACGTTTTGCACTACCATTTAGTGTAATTACTATAAATCCAGCTATTAAAAAATGTATAAAAATGAAAATTAATTCAGACTCTCAACCACACCATGAAAAGCAAATTGTTAGGCAATAAATACAGCATCACAATGCTTGCATTTGGGTGAGATGCATGCTGATATGCGGGGGAGTAATTATAAATTTCAGTGGAAAAATTAATAATTTCAGTGTTTCTCTGTAGATCAAGTCAAAGATCAATTGGTGTGGCAACAGAAGCGAATTCAGTGCTTCATAAATTGTAAACGCTATGAATTAGCAAAATATGCGAGTCTTTAAAGTATCGCGCTTCTTTGTGCTGTTATATTCTACAATTGAGGAAACTGTAGAGAAAACTTTTATTTTCTGAATAAAAAGTTCGGTACGGGGTAGTCTTAACGGCCGGTAGCATTTGAATTGAAAGTGCTTCGATGGTTCATCACATCGCTGACATTTAGGTATACTTTTATATACGGTTAGTAATTCGATAATCACAAAGTGAATAAATAATGGAAATCCTATAGGAACGCAAAAATGCACTCTTTGAACAACACTTCTTCATTTTAACAATAAATCATTGATCAATACTAGCGCACTGCTACACACCTCATAGAAAAACAGCATAAGAACCCGCTGAGCCCGTAATGAATTTCTCCAATTTCTACTCACCTGAACCCATTTTAGTGCACGAATCGATTGTCGTCTGCTTGTCCTCGCCTTGTAGTTGGTCAGCTCATGCAGAAAGTCATTCTCCTTATTCACATCACTCACAAAATTAGGTTTTTTGAAGAAAGGAAGCGATTTCCTACCAACTGGAGCCATCGTTCAAACTGTTATACAGAACCGGTTCATGGTCGCACACGCCATCTTCGAAGTGAACACGAAAAAACATTGAAGTTTCGATGTTTCAGGTATGTTTCAACTTCTGATGTTTCTCATTGCTTTGCCAGAATTTTTTCTTTATTCAGGACGACCGGGACCAAACTTCCATGACTAAATATAACTGATATAACAGTATTAGCCAGCCGGAATTTCTATGCAAATCCACTTGTAACATCTTTAAGATAGGGTCACTCTCGGACATCTCTCGCGTGTTTACGCGAACGAACCCGAAAGACACCCGAGAGTTGGAATATCGAAATTCGAAATCGTATGATTTGTCGTTGTCATTGTATTGTCATTAATTTATGTTGAAACAGCATCGCGAGTGCATGTCGGACAGTAAAAGTGTAAATTTCGGGGAATTTCACAGTACAAGTAGTGGAAAAATTGCTGTAAATCACGTGAACAATATCAGTAGAGTATGTGTCGTGTGAAATGAAAATGCAATATTTGTTGGTCGCCGAGGAATTGCGTCAAATTGATTTTCGGGGACACAGCGTAAAAACTCGTGCTCACACTCTCTTTTTCATAAATCAATGAGACTTCCTTTCTCCACTGGCGAATAAGTGATACCCACGTCACGGCGCACAATTGGACGACACAGTGCAGGTGTTTGATTTGGAAGAATAGGGATTTATTGAAGAAAACAGGTTAGCAACATGAGAATTCCCTCTCCCTGACATTTTCGCTAACAACACCTCACGACCGTTCCCCCTGAGCGCGGAAGCCTCCTAGAGGTGATATGAGGGGAATCTGCGTCTTGACAGATTGCCAAACAACACTCTATAGATTGTGCCCCAACGTGCATGAGACGCGTGCTAAGGAGAGTGCTCGGGTATCAGGTGATGTTGATAATATTAGACGCCAATAGCATCTGCGGATCCACTCGCATGATCGCCCCAGACGCTATCCCACGACGAAGGGAGGCTGCCATCCGAGGGAGTGGGACAATCGATTTCGGTCGCGGGTAGGGGCACTCTCCCACGCATCCCAACACACCGCAGTCATTCATCACAATGATTCTCATGGATTTGGGGGTTTCGGGGGCTCCCCGGCGCCCACCTTTTCGTCTCCCGACATTCAGAAAGTGGCTTCCGTAAACAGCTCCCAATGTTTTTGCCCAAGAATCCCCAGTTTTTGCATCACACCACGGAGATGTCTGTTGGATTAATCATTTTACAGTCGCACGACGACAATGGTGACGCAGTTATATTTAGCAGGAATTCCGGCTGCGTAGATTTAAAAGAACTTCCCTTGTGTTCACGCTCTCATTTCAGCGATAAAATTGAATGGAAATGGCCTCAGAATATACTGATTCCGATTCCAATTATAATCACGCGTTGTTCTAAATTCACTTGCTCCTAGATTTCCCAAAGAAGCCCATAAAGTTATGCTTTCTCAATTAGATCATGTGTTAAGTGTAAACATAGTATGGTCAGGTTGAAGAGGATACTTTGGCCCTAAAGAAGAAAGCGAGAGTTATTTGTGAAAGTCATTTTAGTAATTTTACAATTAGAGGCGCTAAATTGATTGTAACGATTCCAAACTGATAAAAGTGTTAATTTTTGTTATCAGTGATGAAGGTCGAAATTGAGTTCTGCGTCCTCCGTCTCGTGCGATTGTAGGCATAATCTCACAAAGTGCATGTTGTGACTTAATGGACATACAAGAATCGTTGACTGTGTACATAAATATAATTTCCAACACACCATTGATATTCGCTTTCTTTAATTTGTCTGCTGAACCAGCAAAAATGAATGTAGGAAAGAGTGTTGGGTGTGTATTTGCGGAAAATTTAGCCGCGCAATGATTAAATGAAATAACTTGCATTTTTCCCCCAATCCGCTGAGTCACGATGGAATAATCTGGGTGTTGAATTATGTGACTTGGACATCCTTTGTTCTTACGATCTCTAAATTGGCTTCTTTAACATTTGAGTTTTTCTTTATCCTAAGACAAACACACAAATACATACGGTAGCCCTCCTCTTCCAAAAACGAGAAAGAAAACGGTGAAAGGCACGCAGGGATTTCCGCGAGAAGCGAGAAAGACAGGGGTAAATAATGCCGAGTAAGAAACGTCCAACAGCCGCCAATCGCCAACAGGGAGTCTCTCCATCTGGTCACAAGTACGCGAGTGGGGCAGGAGCAAAGGAGCCCCAACAGTCGATGGCAAATGGAGATGTTGCCAGTGGTGGTCACGTACTAACAGCTAAACAGCGACAACAACTGGACAAGAGCATTTTCTTGGCTTCACTAACGAAAAATGAGTTACAGAACGAGTGCAGGAAACGCGGTCTAAAGATAACAGGAAATAAGATGGAATTGGTATAAGAATTTTCATAACTTTTCCACCTTCACAAAAGTATTTGCTCGTTCTCCTCTGTTACACTCTTTTTTTGTTGCTCCTTCTCCAAGTTGGCATAAATTGATTGATTTATTTTTGTAAGCCTTAATCATTTTCTAACACAAAGTCTGGTTCGTATGTTCACACTGTTGGGAAGTCTGTCAAGCAAATAGAAGAGGGGAGAATAAGTAATCAATTGGTTTTCAGTCGCATTTTCAATAAATATTATCCACGTTAAAACAAGATATCGCAGAGAGGCAATCAATTGGAGAAATGTTTAGTCTGTCTTACATATAATTATCCTAAGTGATGATAGAATTATTCATCCTTTCAGTTTTATACAAAGTGTCTTAAATATTTCACGCTAATCGATTTACCAAGCACTCTTAACTTCACATATAAGTTTTGTATCGTGCTATGAACTTATACAGAAAAATTAATAATATTACGAGGTTGATTGAAGGTTCAATTGTTTGCCTCTTTCTTTTGCGCTTGTATTACTGATAATGGCTTGAAATTTCTTTAGTGATTTACCCCTGACTACAAAGCAGAAGCTTATTGTTGTGGGTATATGTATTATAATAAAATTAATTGTAAAGTAGTTTATCTAAATTGGCGTCGCGGAAGTAATCCATTAAAGAAATGTAATTTTAGGGTGACACCACCGTTGAAAAGGCCTCCCTCGTTGCCTTCACCTGTTTCACACATCATATTAAAATATAGTATTTTAATTATAAACAGAGATTTGCGAGGAGAGAGAACAATAAAGATTGAATAATTGGATGGTTAAAATAAGCTTCACGCTGGTGTGTTTGAATTGTCTAAGAAATACATATCAGTGTGAATGATTAGCAATTTTAGCGGACGTACCAAAAAAGAAGTGCTCTTGGGCAGAAGAAAAAACCACAGGCGAGGTTTCCTCTCATCATGATATTCATAATTTTATCTTGTCTCTAATAAGACTTGTGGAATTTTTTTTTCATAAATGTAAATATCAAATATAGCATTGTAAAGTTTTGGCTGTGAGCGTGTGTAAGTTATTGACGAAAGGTGATGCAATTTTCATGAGAAATAGAGAAAATCGTTTTCACTCTCCTGCAGAAGCAATTCAATGCGTAACGCGTCCAAAATGTGCTTATCTTATCACTCAGACCTCGTCAGACATTCATAAGGGGCGACAGATTGTGTGATAGGGAATTACTTTGTGTCCAAAGATGCTTCAGTGACGCGTCTAATTTTTTTTTGTTACACTGCATGCATTCTCTTTGTGTGTTTTCTTACCTGTCAATCAAGTGTTGTTGCATTTTGTTAATTTTTTTTTAGTACAAATTGTGTCTATTGCAGATTTTGCTAATATTTCTACGTACACTCGTATGTGAGAGCGAGCAGAATTGGTTAAAAACGTGTGAGAGCCTTGAATTTGTGAAAATATGCTCACAGTGCCACTGAAATCATTGAAAGATGTGCCACACACACCGAGAGTGTAAAAGCTATCATTATTGTATTCAATTGCATAATCTCAGGGCAATGGCAATGCCAGATTCAGGTGTATTTTTACCTAAATATGGACAATTCAGTGACAAATTAGACTTCCTCCTTCATTGATTAATTTTCATGGTATTATATTATATGTATATGTATTTCTCAGTTGCTCCTACATTCTTTCCGTCTGCTTTTACACTTTGTTCGTTTTTTATCTCCTGCGTTTTTTGCGCTCCTTCAATATGTTTCACATTTGATGTTGATACTACTTGATTAAGTATATTGAGTTGAAAATGATGAAAATAATTGAGTGCAAAGTACTTTGCAAGCAAAACAACACACAAAATTAATAGTGAATGAAGAGAATAGAATTTGAATCAATTGAGGAAGTTTGACCCAATTTTCAATGTGTAATGTACATTTTTCTCTTTCTCCCTCTGTTTCCATGTATCTCTGGAATTGGGTAAATAGCTCCAAAGACTAGGATATAAAATGTCTCATCACAATCACAACCAACAGTCTACGGTGACATCTTCCACGTCAGGCACTTCCCGGCAGAATCAGCAGAAAAAGACACCAAATGGAACAGCGATGGACTCCTTCGTAAGGAAACAGTCCGCTCGTGATCGAGAGAAGGAGCGCAATGAACGGAAAAAGATTGTCATTTGGCGGCATCCAATTCTGACATCGAAATATTGTGCCCTAGAGTGTATGACACTTATGCAAACATATGGACGAAAGTAAGATTTATTCAATTGGTAGAAAGCATAAAGAAAACACTCGATTATTTATAAACTATATTTCTGTTCTAAAGTCATTTTTCTCAGATAATTTCATTGAGTATTCATAAAAATCTTCTTCTCAACTTGATAAAATATTTGTTGGAAAATATAAATCGCGTGTTCAATCTAAAAAAAAATTACATTGTTTCTTCTATTTGATGTCAGGTAAAACAAATACTGATAAGCTTTTATGATATAATTCTGGATAGGTGAGGAGAAGCAAGGTTGACATGCGGATCGGGTTATTAAACTTTATTTTCCTTGGCAACAGCCCGAAAAAGTATTTACGATGATTTAGAATATCAAATAAAATATGTAAAATTAAAAGGAAATATTTGTAGGTTTATTACTAGCGTACACACTTTAATCGAGAATGAAAAGAATTATCATTAAATATAAATAGGATTTGTTTTATTGCATATTTTTTGTAGAGAATACTTAATGAAAATTTTCTGAGTATTCAGCATAGTATTTATTGGTTTTCTTTCCCATCAACCTTTTATTAGAATTGTTCAGGTTGTTGAAATGACTCTGAGCGGAAGTAAAGGCAATTTAAGTGATAAAATCAAAATTTAGAAGTATAGCAATGCTAGTCATACTTGATACCTATTCCGCTTGAAACCAAAGAAGTATTTAACCTTCATTTCTCACCGACGTAATTATGAATGACACAATTTACTTCTATGACTGAAAGTGATTTGTCAAGTAATTATAGCCCTCATTTACTGTTTTATGAAGAAATCTGGTCATTTACGGTATTTTCTAAAGTAGTTGCCTCATGAAATGCCTCACTAATACTTAATTATCTTACCTCTTTTTTAGACTTGCGGATCATAAGAAACTCATGGCTCTCCTGGTGGCTGTCGTCGCGATGGTGATTGCAATGTACCATGTTCCAGGGCGACACCAGACGTACATTGACCTGATTCGGGTGCACATGTGGTTTGTGACCTACTGGGTAGGTCTTGGAGTGCTGTCGTCCGTCGGCCTCGGTACGGGACTGCACACATTCCTGTTGTATCTGGGACCACACATAGCCAGCGTGACAATGGCAGCTTATGAGTGTAATTCACTCAACTTTCCAAAGCCACCCTATCCGGATGAGATCATCTGCCCTGAGAAGGTGGATCCCACATTCATTCCATCACTGTGGAACATTATGGGGAAGGTGCGCGTTGAGGCTTTTCTCTGGGGCGCTGGAACTGCTCTTGGGGAGCTGCCGCCCTACTTCATGGCAAAGGCTGCTCGCCTGTCAGGTTATGATCCTGACGATGCTGAGGATTTGCAGGAGTTTGAGGAGTTGAAGAAGAAGCGAGAACAGGGTGCCGATTTGAACTATCTCGATCGTGCCAAGCTTTTTATGGAGCGACTGGTGGAGCGTGTTGGATTCCCTGGAATACTTGCTTGTGCAAGTGTAAGCATTTCTTATCTTATATCATTGGCATGAATTTGTGTTTTCATGGTTGTCTTTTCACTTGTAGATTCCCAATCCACTGTTTGACCTGGCTGGAATCACGTGTGGACACTTTTTGGTGCCATTTTGGACCTTCTTTGGAGCAACACTGATTGGCAAGGCTGTGATTAAGATGCATATCCAGAAGATATTTGTGATAATTGCATTCAATGAGACTCTGATTGCCAAGGCGCTCGACCTTTTGGCTTTGATACCCTTCATGGGGAAGCGACTTCAGGAGCCATTCAAAGCATTTCTGCAGAACCAGAAAGCACGCCTCCATCGTGGACCGGCGAGAAAAGCGTCAGAGACGGGAAATTTCCTGGCACGTCTCTTTGAGAAGTTTGTCGTCGCCATGATTGTATACTTTGTGGTGTCGATCATCAATTCGCTGGCACAGAGTTATCACAAACGGATTCACAAGAAAGGCGGAAAGGTGCATCGAAAGGTGGCGAGAGACTAGTCGACGAAGAAATTGCAGCTAAGCAATGAGTGTGTATATGGTTCTTTAGTTAGATGAAATTATTATTTTTTGATTAATTTTCATTTTGTAAAACTGTTGCACAGAAAATTGTGCATTGCAAATGTCTGTCTTCACTGATTTGAAGGTTTTCTGGTGGAATTTGAATAAAAAAATCCAGCTTTTCGGGCTTTCAGTCTCAAGAGAGAAAATGAAATAATAAAAAAAAGTTGTTTCTATATGTGTAAAGATAATGAAAAGTTTGTTTAATTGACAGTCAAAAAGATGCAACATTGGAAGTATATAAATTATCCAAAGAGATATTAGATACATAATGCAAAAAGGCTTTCTTCCCCTCTACCCAAGTGTTTGGCGCATATTTGGGAAATTGCTCAGAGATTTTTGCAAGCGTTTATAGTGAAAGGAATATAAGAAGAATTTTGTATTGAATAGTACATCAAAGAAGACACTAGAATCCTCCCCACGAGACCTAGAAAAAGATCCTCTTAAGCGTAATAACTAGATGAAATTAAGTAATCAAAATGATATAGATGAAAAATTGCCATTCCCTGACTAAAAAAGTGAGAAACATTATTAGAAGTGTACATTATATTCATTGAATTTATCTCACAATTGACGTAGATGATAAAATGATACAAAAATAGTCGAATGTGTATTTATTGCAAGGATTTGTAATATTATATATAGTAGAGTTTTTGTGTGTTTGAGTTCCTGTGGTAGGAGATAATAAGGGTTTTGTTGCGTTTTTTGTGGGCTACAGAGTAATCCAGCAAAAATTACCAATTACATTTAAATATACAACACAAAATATTTACATATTATACATTTTCTCATTTTTAAGTGTGTAATATTAAGTACAATTTTCATGGGTATTGTATTCTCATGCGAGAAAAAACAGATTCATACAAACGGTTTGAGACATGAGTTGCGAAAAATAAAAATATACAGAAGTAATAAGAAAAGTATTTCGGTGTTTCTATTCGATGCACTTATTTTATTTATTTATTATTTCTGTGATTATAATTTTCAACGCAATCAAACAACAACAAAACGTTGAAATAAATGTCGATGATAAAATGTGTAAATGTTTCGTCCATGTTGCATGGAGCATTCATGAAACACGCCATGGAGACGCCGGGTACCAGGCTACACCACATGTCATAGAAGAACATTCAAAAAATCCCCCACAACTCAGTTTCCAAGGGTTTCTGTGGGAAAATCCTTCGAAACACTCAAATATTTGCTCAAGTGGCCCAAAAATACTCCTCCATGATGTATTTAAGTCTAGAATTATTCACACAAAAGATCTGTAAAGAAAGAATGAGAGCTTTCTCGTAAAGCTTTTCTTCACTGTTTGCTCACTTTTTTCAGTCGCATTTCCATTGTGACCACCCAAAACATCATTTCCTGAGCATATTTCCATTTTATCACGCAGCGAAGAAAAATAAGAGCGAATATTTGGAGAAGAATGGATCTCTTACACACTTTGGCAGTGTCTCGCTCATTTTCCCCCGTCTGAAAACATCAGAGGAGAAGTGTTTTCTCATTGGAAATTCCTCTCTTTTGACTATACTCTCTCGGGAAATTTTCCGGCTGGCTGGGAGAGCGCACATTTTACTATGAATCAGTCGTGCAACAGTTGTGCCTCGCTCTGGTCGCGCTTACGGAGGGCAAAATCGAACAGTTTTCCCTTCTCTTATCTCTCGCCCCTCAATTCTGGGGCTATTTGTGTCATAACACACTCTTTATCACCGAGAGAGGTTCGCTTTTTCGATTGAGATATGAATTGGTGAAAAGAGTGTGGCGTGTTGTGGAAAATCTGGCACAATATGTGCGAGTGCAGTTGAAAGTGGCTGGTTGGAAGTGGAATAGACTGGACCAGCCCCATATCCACGGTCTGTTGAATCTGTGGAGAAGTGCACGAAGCTCAAAAGGATGTGTGACGCGGGAAACAAATTTGTCTGTCCCAGCGACAGAATGCTGGCGCTCAGAGCCAAGTAATGAAAGTCATTTTCCTGTTCATCTGGCTTTAAATTTTCCATCCCAGCAAGACACCAGTTGAGCTCATGAATTGGCATTGTCGCCAAGGGCGGTTGTTAGTTTTCTCTTCCTGACACACACGCCTGCAAAAAGAACTCCCTGGCCTTTTCCGCTTCTCTTTGTTATACACGCGACGTCGGCCCACCCGTCCTCCACCCACTTCCGAAGAATCATTTAAAGTTTCCTCTCGTTAAATTTGGAGAAGAAAATGTGTGTTGTGTATATGACTTCTTCTTCCCAGAAATCTATCAAAAATTACTCAATGTGCCATACGGAAAAGGGCAGCCGAATACACACTTTAATATTAATACAAAATACACACTGAAAATATCCATCTGAAGCATCAGATAACCTTTATACCTGAAGTTCTCTTTTATTGCTCCTATTCTGTGAACCGTGTCACGTAATAAAAGTTGCAAAATTGAGCTTTTCTCATTCCAGGAAAAATTATAACATTTTCTCAGTATCTCTCATCACAACCATGACGGCCTTTGATGTATCTGAAAGCTCCTAGATTTGAACAAAAGCGGCAAATTCTACATCTATCTCTCTGATCTCAAAGAGAGAAAAATGTTGAGGTTATTATTATTTAATTTGAGAGTGCAATTAAGAAAGAAAATTAATTTAAACTCTTTTTTCTTTCTTCTTGAACTCTTTGGTGTGCCTTTTTCACTTCACAAACGGTTGGACTGCTTTAAAATGTATATTTATTTTCAATTTCAAGGCACCCTTCTTATAAAGCTACTTAAAAATTGATATTAAATAATATTTATCAACAGAGTGAGGATTGAAGAGGAAGATCTCATTTCCTTCCGTAATCAATGGGGAGTGAAAAAATGTTATTATGGGAAAACCTTCCCATAAATTATTTATCAATATTTTTCCACTAAAGCTTTCCGCCCTCAGCAAGTGATTTCTTCGCTGCGAAGCAAAATATGTTCCGCACCAGCATAAATGGTGAATACAAGATTAAGTTGAAGGCTGTTCAATTCCATGGAGAGTGAAAAACACAATAAAAATGCCGAGAGTTGATTGAAACCATTTAAATTTCGAGGAAGAGCAGGAAAAACCAATATCAGTCAGTGACAGCGTGTTCGTTAATTTCCTATGATAATTCCTCCTTTATCAGATGCGTAGGAACTTCTATGTAGATTCTCTGGTGGTGTCACCATGAGGGAAGGTGCAAGATGTGAGGTGATAACAGACGCAGGCTGGTATGAGTGAAGCGCGAAAAGCAAAATACTTGCCGCTGGCGGAAGTTTGGGGAGTTTTCTGGTCGTATAAAGTCAAGTGATTGATACTCCACAGTATTCACCTCATGTAAAATATTGTACGACAAAGTCATTGGAATGCCTTCCAACAATCTGTTGCTTTTCCCAAAGAACGTAGAGAAAAAAGAAGCTTTCATGCTGTTGCAGGTTTAGAACTTTGCATATTGTGTAGAAAGCTTATAAAGACGTGGTTTACTCTCACCCACGTCATGCCAAGTCAAAGTTTCATCAGTTGCAAGATACAATTTCATTTTGTTCAGATCAAAAGCTTCTTTTGCTGTTGTAAAACTTGATGTCGGGCACATGGAAAGTTTCCCGCACTGAAATATTAAAAAGATTTAGACTCCCCTCGAAAAAATTGCTGTAATATTAAATGTATCAAGTCACGGGAGTGTTTTGCCATTGAAAGGGGATTTTGTGAAAGTTTCATACGTACCATGCTCCAATCAGAAATTTCTTAACTAATTTATAATACATAATATTTAGAGTTCATACATATACATACATAGGTGTGTTATTTACCCATGCTTCCTTTCCTCTGATAGGGACACACAAGCATAAAGTTTGGCTCAAAGGAAAACAGTGGGAAAGTCTTAACATTGCAAATTATAGAAAGTTCTTGAATATTTACAAGTAAATCCCTGTGAGACATATAAACTTATTTGAAGCATAATCCGAACAAATGGAATATTAAAATTGCAGATCTGTATGATTTTAATGGATTTGAAACGTTAATTTTAAACGAACATTTTTCATGGACTCACATACATATTTTTTATAACACGCACTTGAAAAATCATAAATATATATATATAAGACTAGCTATCACATTTCATTCGGAATCCAAATGCTCTTGATAGAAGGGAAAATAGAAATTCCACAAACCAAAAGTGACTATGAGATGGAGAAAAATCATTCACAATCACAGAGGGAATATATTAAATTCCTCTGCATCATCCAACTTCTCTCTATATGTAAATGTTTTCTCTGTAGAAATGACGATGGCAAGTGGCAAAATAGAGTGAATTTATACAGCATTTACACTTTGAGGATTTATATAATTAAATGTAAGCTAGATTTGCATCGTTCACAGTCTGAAGGAGTGTCTTTAACTATTTATGGAAAGCTATGAAAGTGCGTCATGTACAATTTAGCATAGCCGTGACCGCAAATTTTCTCTCTCATGTCCCTTATTGAAATTCTCCTTAGGGGATTTCTTTCTTGCAACTTCGACAGAAATTAACTACGGGCAGCAACATATGGGCCAAGGACGAGCGCGGGATAATGAAAGTCCGTAGAGACGCACAAAGAGGGAAATGTAGCAAAGAAAGTAAATGGAAAGTCAAAACCCAATCTGACCGAAATCGTTCTAAAAATATGGCTTTAGAGCAATTCACGAAAAAGGTTTCCACTTTTTCGACAGTATGCAAAAGCTGAAATAAAGAGGCAATCAGAGAGATTTCTGCTCTACACCATTGCGACAATTTCTGTGGGAGATTGATTGAAATAGGGGAAATTTTTTTTTATCTTTCTGGAAGTTTCCATGAGTTCACATGAATATTGTTCGACCAATGGTGCAAAATTTCAATGAAATCGAAGGGGAAAGAGGGTAGAATTTCTATTATGTTTGTCCATCAACAGGCTGGATGGTGGATTGATGTAAATACACTAAGTCCTCGTGTTGACATTGATGTGCTGGATTCACAGGAAATACGAGGGAATCTCACAGGAATGACAATCGCGCTAATCGAATAGTTTTCACTAGTCGTGCCTCACCGATATATTCAACTATTTCCAGTCTCATCTGCAAATAGCGTTAATCTTTTATGGAATGTGCGGTCTTCCCCATCTGTTCGCTATGTACGGAATGCTTCCCAACCTGCTCGGAATTATGTCAACTCGGCAAAATATAACGAGGAGTGACAATCAGAATAAATATTTACAGAATCCCCAACTCACCTTTTCCCTCTGACTCTCTTCGCACGCACACGCAGAATATCAAAAGTGTGCTTTTCATATTCATAAGCGGATGAAGAGACTTTGCACTGAGATTTTCTAAAGTGCGTTCTTTGCAGAAATATCCAGATTTTTCTAGCGTAAGCATTGAAAAACCGTTAGTCAATTTGCGTCATGATGTCGTTATACCAAAAGGATTTTCGCATCACATCCACAATCTATTCCAATTAACGGAAATTAAACCCCTTCTACTCCTACAAAATTCTACTTCATCCCCACACAATCTCTCTGTTCATTTGTCGATAGATTCAATTAAAGCTTGCCACTTGAGACATAGTAAATAAAGCAGATATATTGAGTTCATCAATATTTTTTGTATTGATTACATCATCATAAATATAATATGAGAAATTATTTTTATTGAAGAGCTCACTTATTATTAGCTTCTGCACGTACTCAATTCCTCTCAGTATCATCAAGATGTTTTCTCTACATTTATATCTACGAAGGATCTTCACAACTGCTTGCGTGCAATAATATTTTTATTTGGTATCATATATAGTGAGAAGACTTTCCATGTAATATTATTTTGTAATTAGAAACGATGCACTAGAATTGATATCCACTTTGCATAATTACTTGTTAATCAGGGACACTTTTAATGCGTTTCTCGAAACTTTTACAACCTAAACTTCAGTCGAGGAATGAGTTTAATCGGCAAAGTACAGAGATAAAGCAAACTGTATCAATGAATTGGCGCAATTTCGCACAATGATAAACCTTGAGTGGAGAACCATTCGCATGAAGAGTAGTAACTTATCAAGTGAGATTTAAAGGATATATTTCCAATGATTTGCCATATATCTGAACCATCCAAATGATCTAAACTGTAACTCCAATAATTTTAAAAACTCTAATAAGTTTAAAGGACTGATAGAAAACTTCTCTAAAACTCAGTCTGAGAGAGATATGTAATCTTATTAAGCTTCATTTGCCTGCCGCTGATTCAATCATCTCGTGACCCACATTTCATGATATGTATTGGCAGCCATCGGGGGTCCTTCCTTGCCCACACACCACTCCTCGTGAGGAAGTGGAGTCACGGGGATGCAAATTGTAAATCAAACCAATTTATATTATACTTTCCTCTTGCTCATGTACCTCTCAGAGTGACGTCGCTAATTTCTCCGCCTAAGTAAATTATCTTAGCAGGAGGGAGGCGAAGAATTCCTCTCTCGCACTATTGAAAGTAATAATAATGTAGTGTCTGTGGCGTCTAGGCAACGACATTGCTCATATTTATCCGCCGTTTCCGACGCTTTGGCAGCACATTTGCACGCATCCCACGTTCTCACCATGAGATCCAGCCGCATAAGAATCTCTCTGGGTTAACACGTTATCTGTTTCATCCTCTCTGGCTTCTTCTTCTTCACCCTAGTTCGAGGGCAGGAGGGGTGGCCCATTCGCAAATTTCCACCGTTCACTCACATCCGTCACGGCCAAATTCGGCACTAAACAAGCACAAGAGAAATGGATTTGAGAGCGTTGGATTCTCATGCATATTGCACGGCACGCACGAGGCGTCTCAATTGAGTTCTATTGTGGAAAGCTTGAACCAGACTTTCTGCAAAAGTTCACACTGAAATGAAAATTTTTTCATAAATATTACATATATATTCACAATTTGAGGATATGAAACAAACTGAAAGTGATATACTCACGTGTAGAACATTTAGAATAGAATGGAGAAGAGCGTGGCAGACTAATATCTAACTTATGATTAATTAAATCGTACTTCAGAAATTCATAGAAAGCTTCAATATTAAGAAAAATAAATCTGCGAAAGAAAATGTTCAGTTATGTGACAGACTTTCCTATGTCGCTAAGTCATTTTTTTTAACGAAATCATGCTAATTTCACCCGTATTAGCTTTTCAATTGAATTTATTCTTGGGAATTGTCCTTAAAAACAATTTCTTAGAAATATTTTCAATTCATCCACAATTCTTCAAGCTAAAGGACATTGAATTGAGCTCATTTTAATTTTAACAGCACGAGACAACCTGACTTGATTCCATCCCCATTCCTTTAAGTAAAAATGCAAATTTTCAGTTGTCTCCTGTCTATTGTAGCCTTTTCCGTCCCCATTTTCTGTGAAGACTATTTACACATTTATTCAATTAGGCGGGCGTGAATTTTGGTCACGTAAATTTACGCGACATTCTTGGATTGCAGACTCCACTCAGGATGGTGTACAGGAAAACCAGCAAGCGGGAGTGCTTTGAAGCCTGACGAACAGGCAGCCATTCTCAATGTCATCAAAAGAAATGAGGCACTGGAGACAGCAGAACGGCAGAGAATTGGAATGATGGTGGAACGTCTGGAGAAGCTGAAACAGCGCGTGACGGACAGCGGACCAAGGAACTGTCGACTCTGTGGGCAATCCTTTGGCTTGCTATCCCTGTCCAAGCAGATCTGTGACGACTGCCGCCATCAGGTGTGTTCCAAGTGCGCCATCGAGCTCTCCACAAAGACTCTCCAAGGTGAGAGGTTGGTAAATGATTTTCAGAGGTCATCCACACCACCCATCCAATGCGTCATAATTTATCTTTCAGGGAGATTTGGCTGTGTAAGATATGCTCTGAGACAAGAGAAATGTGGAAAAAGTCTGGAGCGTGGTTTTTCAAAGGCATTCCGCGCTATGAGCTGCCCCGCAGGGACATATCAAATTCGAAATCCTTCCGCCGTGACGATAAACCCATCGTAGGAAGGACAATGAAGTTGGGTGCGCGTCTCAATGACTCGTCATCGGAAGATGAAGAGACGGACGATAAATTGGATGCCGCCAAAATGCTCCAAAGGAGACAGTCGAGCTTGCTAATGGGAAACGGAAGTATGACGAGAGAGAGGTCACACGTGGGTAGGTTCAGGAAGACGAATGATGTTTTGTATTACACAAATAAGTATATGCTTTTACACGTGGCAGAATCCACAGTGAGCAGCAGAAAGATGTCCATCGGAGGTCATAGCCAGCAATTGAGCTCCACAACATCCCAGGACAGTAGCAGTTTCTCGATGGCGGAATGGAGAAGCCAACATGAAGGTGGGAGCCTCATAAGGTCATCGTCTCTCCTTCGACGTGGCTCTATTTCATCCAGCTATTCAACCACAGAATCTTGCACAGGTGTGCTTAATACTGTGGCCATGAGTCAAGGCTGCAAAGAGCCGCCACTGGGCTGGGTGGAGCTCGTCCTCAACTACGACGAGTCCAACCACTCCCTTGACTGCTCTGTGATACGTGCCAGAGACTTGCCGCCCATGGACAGTGCTGGTCTGGCGGATCCTTTTTGCAAGATCAACGTTGTGTCTATCGACGGAATGGCTCGTCAGCAGCGCTGGATGAAGACCAAGACAGTCCACAAGACTCGCAATCCCGAATTTAATGAGACCGCCACATTCCTAGGCATGGAGCACGAAGAGCTCAATCGATCCATCCTGTATGTCGTCATCCTCGACGAGGATAAGTATGGCCACGATTTCCTCGGAACGGCAAAAATCGTCTTATCTCCGGTGTGTATTTTCTATTCGTTGAACCTTTTGAAGTACTCTTTTGTTTCAATATCACCATGATTTTCTCTCGTCTTCATATGCAAATTGTATTTGAATTTCAAAGTATAAAGACACTTTTCTCGGCATATTGATTTCTCATTCAATATTTTTCTTGAAATAAGAGCATCTTTTGTCAGTGATACAAACCATCAGTAGAAACCAGTAGATGCTATAGTCGTTGAATATGCATAATTTTTGAGATTGCACATTTTCCTAATCTCTTAAGATGTGGAGACACAACTCAGATTATTTTGTTATAGGAACTAGTGTTGTACAACTTATCTTGCTGAGCCACAAAATGACATGTCCATAAATTTAAATGCACATCATCTTGAATTACTCGGTCCTAAATACATAGAAAACATGCTTTATTTAAGATGACGGAGACATTTTATTTTATGAGAGGACAATTGCCTCGTAAAAGTGTTGAAAATTCATCCGTTGATTGTATTTAGCCGAAAATACAGCAAAATATCCATACTAAAACCTATTCAAAAAGCAACTCTGCAATTCTAGCCGAACGTGCCCATGGTGCGAATTCGTGAAAGTGATGGAATTGAATGCAAATTGACTATATTTACAGATTTATGCAACAAGTCCTTGTCGCATCTCCGTGCCACTGGATGCTGAGGATCAGCACAGTATCGACGCGAGCTTGTCGGGTCCATGGCCTCGTGGCCAGATCCTAATCTCTCTTTGCTACAATACTAAAAAACGTGCCCTCGTCGTGAATATAAAGCGCTGCATCAACCTCCTCCCAATGGACAACAATGGGTTTTCCGATCCATTTGTGAAAATGTATGACACTCTCGTGAGCACAATTTTCATGTTTTAACATTTAATATCCTACTCTTCTCTCCCTCCACAGACAATTGAAACCCGACTCGCATCGCAAGAAATACAAGACGAGCATCAAATGGCGCAATTTGAATCCTGTCTTCAACGAGGAGTTCCTCTTTGAGTCGCGCCCCAACGACTTCGACAAGCAGTTCCTCATCATTACTGTCTGGGACAAAGACTTTGGCAAAAGTAATGACTTCCTGGGATCGCTCATGTTGGGCCCCACGAGCAAGGGGCGCCGCCTGAAGCAGTGGCGAGACTGTGTCCGTCTCCCAGATCACTATCATGAGCAGTGGCACTGTCTCGCCGCTGACCCCGCTCACTGAGCACTTAATCAAAAAATTGTGTTGAATTTATGAGAAAAATTAAAGGGTCAGCAATGGGAAAAATTATCATTTTCACATCGCTAGAATGCTTTCCAAGTATTTTCATGACTCTCTTGAAATAACAGAACCCTTTACTGACCTGCCAACAATTCTTGCCAGGAATTGATAAAAGGAATCTTTTTTTAATACTTTGCTTCAATATATTTCTCTTACGGTTGTTTCTTTTTGTGTTTCTCAAGAACATTTTTATAATGTAATATTTGGTTAAAATTACTTTGTAACAACAACTCCTACATAAAAAGTTTTCCATCATCATTCATGCTATAAAAGTATATCAAGAAAAAGTTTTCCATTCCAAAACTCCTCATGATACAACGCCTTTAAGTCCATAGTGATATTTTTTCACAATACTTCCTTCTACTTAATACGGAACTGTTCCCCTATGTTACTATGTAAAATTCTAGTGGAGTAACGGTGAAACAGGTATGTAACATAATGGAGTTTTTCCTAATTACTATTTCATTCATTTGTAATATCACTATGTTGTAATTTTATTGGAATATAAATAGACAAGAAAACATTGAACTGTATTTTTGGGTGTAGAGAGAATGAGAATTCACAGATCAAGACAGTAAAAAGAAAAGGAGTAAAACTGGGTAGAACAAAAAAGGGTTAATTGACAAATTAGAAGAAACTTCAAATACCGTTGTTTCCCTTTTTAGATATGAGATTAATGGACCCTGCTAAGATACCTAAATGTGTAATACTTCTTTTCTTGAAGAGGATATTAAACACTACTCTCACTGGAATGTACAATGCCATATGAGACATTTATAACTCAATTTTGAAGAGTGTGTGACTAGAGAAGAAGTTGAAGGAAGAGTCTCGTTGGCTGTTATTTAAAATGTTGCGGCGAACCACATGATGCATTTAGAAGGGTATGTCACAGTGTGGTCCAGCCGATAGTGCCATCTTCGACAAAGTGGATAGAGAGCGTCGAGGAAAACTTGTAGAAGTGTCATCAGGATCAGAGAACAATTTGCGAAAACTGCAAAGGAGACACAATTTTCGCATCAAAAAGGAACAGTTCATCGATTGAAATATGCTAACAATTTTCTTATCCCGGATTCACTGGACTTTTTCCACGGTGCATCATCGGGCTCAAAAGGAAGTGGCCCCTGAACAGGTGGATCCTCCTCCGATGACCTGATTCAAAGGGATACTCTTGTTATAATCACTATATATATATATGCAAATGTCTTCAATTACTCACGATTCACTCTTTGCTGGCTCCTTCTGTTCAAGAGTATTTGGCCTATAGAGTTTCAGTTCCTCCTCCAAATCGTTGATTTTCACCCTCAAATCATCTCGCTCCGCCATGAGCTCTTTCAGTTCAGTCGTGGTGTAGCGCTTCAGGGGCTCTTCCTCCTGTGTCTTCACCAAGTCCTCATTCTCCTTCTCCGCCAGACCAAGTCTCCGTCTCAGTGACACAATCTCTCGATGCTGATCCTGCAGCTGTGCAAGAAAGTCTGCCCGTTCTTCGCACAGTGTCCTCACCTGCCGTTGCACCACCTTCTGTCGTCGTCGTGTCTCTCTGCCTGACGTCTTCAAACGCTCCATTTGAACATTGAGACTTTCAATGTCCGACACTTTCTCCTCCAGCTCCATATCTTTGCGCATCAATTCATTCCGCTGCTTGTCCACTTGACTCCTCAAGCGCTGCAGCAGCTGAAAATCACCATCTTGGCTTCCTGTTGAATCCATCTGCAGCTCAACACCACTGTCTGGGTCCACTCCAGACTGCAATTGTGTAGCCAAGCGCTTGTTCTCATCCTGCAGACGACTAACGAGGGCCACAAGGTCTCTCGATTCATTTCTCCATTGCTCCTCAATAGTCTCGAGTTCCTGAAAGCAACAGAGATAAATATTACAAACAAATTCTTGTACAATTCCATAGAGACATTCTTTTATTGATCGCGCTAAATCTCGCGCAATCAATCTCTCCATTACTTGTATTTCTACCTGCCGATAAATCACTTTATACATAGCATACCGAATACCTTGGGGATGTCTTGAGGATAATTAAGGTAAAGATTGGAACAAAGTTTAGCGAAAACTTCGCCATCGCCTGTGAGATTTGAAGGTCGAGCCAGACGACACATTGAATAGATTTTTCTTAGAACAAATTTCGAGAGAAATGTCTACAATTCACCTGTGCGAAAAACTTTTGAACAAATAAAATATATCAAATGGATTGATTTAATTTCTAATTTTTGCCAATACATTTTACTCTCATATATCATTTCCGATCGATGGAAAATGTTTCTCGTGTCTTATGTAATAATTATCAATTGTAATAATAAAATTTCCGGTCGAAACTTTGCGTCGTTTAGCAATTTTATTGGTATTTTTATTATCCACATTGAAACTATGTTCAAATACGGACGTATATTGTTTGCTTTTCTCGTTAGAATTCTGCGACCATTTATTGATTATCTCTGCAAAATTTTTCAATAGTAAGCTTATGCTATAAATTACGCTGTATTAATTACACAATAATTGGAATTTAGTGGACACATTTAATTTGTGAGACATCAAAATGCGAAATCAAACTCATTTACTGATAGATACTCACACGAAAACTTAATGAAAAACAATCCAGATAAGATAGTAAAAGATGGATTTAAAATAGTTTATTTGTAAAAACCCAGTATAATGCTAAGATAATCTCCATTTGAAAACTTTTCCACACCAAATGCTAAATGATTTCCGTCATTTTGACGGGCATAATTAATTCTCAATCTTTCGACAAAGTGTGAATCATTTACGACTTTCCTCATTCTCATCTTGATGAGATGTGGAAAATTATTTTCTCTCCAGTTTGAAGGCATTCTCTTTCTGAATTTTTGGGGCTGCTTCTCTAGCTGTGAAAGTTCACTGGGCTATAAATAGAGCTATTCTTCTCCAATTTTCATCAACATATCCATTACGCCTAATATCCCTATCATTCTCTTGTTAAACACGGGTGATTTAGTGGTTGTACTGCCATCTCGAGATATAGAATTGTGGACTTTCTGCTCTCCGTAACCACCACGCAAGTCTCAATCCAATTTCCAGCGATTTTCTGAATGAGTGAATATAATTTTTCGTCTGCTTGTCTGCATCTCTCCTTCGGCGCTACAGCGACCCGGTCTTTCTTTATTCATCCAGCAACACCGCAAATGCCACAATGTCTCATACCCCCCAATAAACATCTTCGATGGATGTGCTAAAAGTCACAGAATGTGCAGAAGGGGATGATCATAATGCTTAAGAAGAACATGGACTATTTAGTTTCATTACAAATCCTATGAGCAGTTATTTCCGCAAACTCTGTCAAGAAAATGGCATAAAAATGCTCTTTGAATAACCCCTCAACTGCCATCAAGGAATCAATAGTGTGATATATTTGAGGTTGAGGCTGAGATCATTCTTTCCATGGAGACTCGATTGAGCAAAAAAGAATTTACTTTGCTATTCAAGTGGATGTCGCGACAGAGCTGATTACGGCAACATCATTCATTTTGTACTGAGCTAATTCAAAAGTAGCTCCATTATATTATTTCCAGGGTGATTTGAAAATCGCAAATGAATCGAAGAGAAAATTTTCAAATTTTGCCGTACAAACCAAACTTTAATATCATGACTCTGTCAAGGCAAAAATGGCACAACATAAACGACTTGTTTATATGCCACACAACAAAATTTTCCGCATAAAAGAGAAGTGGTCGTGAATTTTTTAATGACCCCACGGATCAACTAGCACCATACACAAATTCCCTGTGACTGTTCTGACGTGGCTGCTCCTCATCCCCAAACAGTCCTCAGGGCGAGAGAAAGGCGAGTGTAGGTGGGTGAAAATTTAGTGGTGGGATTGAGTCAATAAATGACGCTAGAGGGAATACTTTGGATGGCCCATTTGCCGTCTCACTCCCATCCAATTTGCCATTTTTTGATACATTGTGTACCCCATCATTGGATGTGAAGGAAAATGAAGGGGAGTCAGCGTTCTCGTCTCTACCACACACAGCCTTTCGCTGGGACACTGAGTGCCTCGGAGGGACTAAAGAGGATTCTCGCATCAACTGCATGCCATCTTTCATCCATTCATGCCTTTGAGACAGACAGAACGTGGGGAAAAAGAGAATATTAATGGTGCCTGATAAGGGATGCTTTTAATAATAAATCACCAACTCAATTTGGTCAAAGTGTACTACATACAATGGATTTTTGCGTCAAAATTCATTATGGATATGTGACTATAAAAAAATAATTCTTTTTTTTTAGATATCTCCGGATCTCTTGTATCTAAATTTACTTGCACTCTATTGCGGAATTAATCCAGATGAACATATCAGGCTTAATGAGCTTTATGCTCTGAAATCGATTTCCTCCCAAAAGCAGACAGTGAAATGCTCTTGTACGGACGAAAAGTATGCAGATTTTGAAAATTTGTAAATTTTCTTTGTAAAAAGTTATTGTGAATTATTTAAAAAAAAAGCTAAAGACATCACTACTGCATACATAATATATGTTGGCCTTTATATACTCTTTTTAAATTAATTTAATTCAGTGTAATTTAGGCATTTTTTATCCCGAAGTTTCTATTATAGAGATGTTGAAAAACTTGCAGTGTCAATATAATTTTATATAATTTTGTCATAAATGCCTACCTACATTTAATTTATGAAAGGCCGTGACATTTGAAACTAAAACACTTTCTTGAATCTGCAACATTTGCAAAAGTACAAATAAGTCCATGTAGGCTAACTGTTTAGCCTCTCAGGGTAAAAAAGACAGCTGAAGAACTCACAGACAGTGCGCAAATCTCATCATCGTTTTCATTTTGCCTCTGTAAATTAAATCGCTCAAGCAAATCTTATCTGAAGCACTCGTCCTAGAATTTTATCGTTTTTCGCAACTTATGGCTCTTAAAATTTCCTGCATCTTAAACGAGAGCCCTCTAGCTCTGTCAATTAAGAACAAATTGGAGATTTTCACTAAATTACCTCAACCATGAGGTAACTCGTCAGTGAATTTGATGCATATTTTTTTAATACGTATTTCAGCAAACATGGAAATTGCAGAAAAGTTGCCGGAGGTGTTGTGCTTGTTCCACCTTCATAGGCAATCGAGCCGAACGAAATACCCTCATCGGGCGATATTGTAATGCCCAGAGAACGAGAGAGTGTTGTGTGGGTTGTGTGTGAGGGTGAGAGTCTGAGATTCTGAATGATTCATTTCGTCCGAACGGCCTCCATGTTGGTCATCAAATTCAATTCTGCCGGGATCTGATCGATTCCCAGACGCAGTGCTTCATTACCCAGTCCCATCTGAATCGAGCTGTAATGATGATTGAGCGATTGAGAATGGATGTCTCGTGAGGCGCGACGGAATGCGATTGGCAGGTGAGAAAATCCCTGAAAGCCCCAGAAAAGTGGCGGTGGAGATAAGAATGTTTTGAATGAACCGTGACGGATTGAGTTAATCACAAAATTGGGCAATATCATTGGACAGAGCGTGAGATTTTGTTTACCTTCTCGAAGCGCTTCCTGTACTCGGCTTTCTCAAGCTTTTCCGTCTCCAGTTGCGTGATACGGTCATTTAACTCCTGCACTGTGGAATTTTCTGACTCATTGCGATTCGCCAACGCCTCGAGAAGCTCCAGGGCATTGATGACCTGCGGAATCAGAGTCGCAACTGCGTCTGATCCGAACTTATCAATCAGCTTCTCGCACTCTTTCCCAATCTCACTGGCTATGTCGTACACTAGCATCACAGACACTTCACCCATTTCACTACCTTTGGGCCCAGGCATTTGGAGAGGAAATTCCAGGTGCTGGCCCAATCACTTCTCAGCTGCGAATGAATGAGCTCACTGCCACAAAATCCGAGGAGAACCGCAGAAGCGCCACTGCGTGGCAGGTACACGAAATTCGATTGGAATAATGGTGGCGATATGGAGGTGCGACCAGTCGGGTTGTCCACATTCCACACGCAATACATATGTATATATGCATTTGTGGATTCTGTCTGTCTGCTTGGCGTTGTTTGCGTGCACGGAGCAATTTTTTCTCACAAAATCCCCGAGATATACTTTGGGAAACCTCCCTAAAACTACTGCAATCTGCTCAGTGGTAAGAGGAGCGCATCGTAAAGTTATATAAAAGCAGACGGCACCGCTAATAGTGGTGTAAATTGTATTCCAAGGTGGAGTCTCAAGCCGGAATTGGCGGGTCGAGGAAACTGAGTGATCCGGCTCATACGGAGGTGGCAGAAATGGGCGATCGCGGCGATGGAGGTGAGTAAAGTTCACTTGTGCAAGTCACAGCTGGCGGAAAAACCGCTGAGATAGCGAAAAAAAGCCCCAAAGGTGAGGTACCTTAGTGAGGTTATGTCTTGTTTTAGCTGAATCGTTTGATGACGCCGTCGAGGAGCGGGTCATCAATGAGGAGTACAAGATATGGAAGAAGAATACTCCTTTTCTGTACGATCTGGTGATGACCCATGCACTGGAATGGCCTTCGCTGACTGCTCAATGGCTACCGGACGTGACGAAGCCGGAAGGGAAGGACTACTCGGTGCACCGTCTCATACTCGGGACCCATACGTCTGATGAGCAGAACCATCTTCTCATTGCGAGTGTCCAGCTGCCCAACGAGGATGCCCAATTTGACGCAAGTCACTATGACAATGAGAAGGGAGAGTTTGGCGGATTTGGATCAGTTTCCGGGAAGATTGAAATCGAAATTAAGATCAACCATGAGGGTGAGGTAAATAGGGCGCGCTACATGCCTCAGAATCCGTGCGTGATTGCTACCAAGACTCCCTCAAGTGACGTCCTCGTGTTCGATTACACCAAACACCCCAGCAAGCCCGAACCAAGCGGCGAGTGTCATCCGGATTTGAGACTTCGTGGGCACCAGAAGGAGGGTTATGGGTTGTCGTGGAACCCCAATTTAAACGGGTATCTTCTGTCGGCAAGCGATGACCATACCATCTGTCTGTGGGACATCAACGCAACACCGAAAGAGCATCGTATCATCGATGCCAAGAACATCTTCACCGGCCACACGGCCGTGGTGGAGGACGTGGCCTGGCATCTGCTTCACGAATCTCTATTCGGATCGGTTGCCGACGACCAAAAGCTCATGATTTGGGATACGCGATGCAACAACACATCGAAGCCATCGCACACCGTGGACGCTCACACGGCTGAGGTCAATTGCTTGAGTTTCAATCCATATTCCGGTGAGTTTTTGACACAATTTGACTCCCTGAAAAATTTCTAAAGCAATTTTCTCTTCAACAGAGTTTATCTTGGCCACCGGATCTGCTGATAAGACTGTGGCACTGTGGGATTTGAGGAATCTGAAGCTGAAACTGCACTCTTTCGAGTCGCACAAGGATGAGATCTTCCAGGTGCAGTGGTCACCTCATAACGAAACCATTCTCGCGTCCAGCGGCACAGACCGAAGGTGAGAATTTCACTCAAGCCTTTAGAATCAAAATTTACCCACTCTCTTCTCCTTTCAGACTCCACGTGTGGGATCTGTCGAAGATTGGCGAAGAACAAAGCAGCGAGGACGCTGAAGATGGCCCACCGGAGCTCCTCTTCATCCATGGAGGCCACACTGCCAAGATCTCTGACTTCTCGTGGAATCCCAACGAGCCGTGGGTGATCTGCTCTGTGTCAGAGGACAACATAATGCAAGTGTGGCAAATGGCTGAAAATATCTACAATGATGAGGAGCCAGAAGTTCCCACCGGTGACCTCGAGGCGCCAACAGCATAAGAGATCCATTTTCATTAATTCTGCGTTACTTTCCTTAGCATTATTTGACATATGAAGTAATAATTTTTTATCATTACATTTCTCCTGATGGGATTTATGAGAATGTCTAATCGATGTAATTCTCCTTTAGTTTATACTCCTATCAATTTTTTCGGAAATAAATATTGACACGATTTCAAAGGAGACGAAAGGAATTTGATGGGCAGAAGCAGATTACTTCACTGTCGTCTTGAAGCGCTCCAGACGTTGCTGAGCCTTAGTTTCATACTCAGACTTTGCAGTAGAGTTCACACTGATCTTTCCTGCCACTGTAGACGCACCAAATCGCTCCTGGCGCTTCTTTAGCTTCTCTTCATTCTCCATTTTTGTCATTGTGGTTGAGACTGATCCACCAAAACGCTCTGCCCTCTTCTTCAGCACGTCAATGGATGCACCAGAACCATTGGAACTGCTTGCAGAGCTTGATGTACCAAAACGCTCAGCTCTTGCCATCTTCTTCACGTCCGATGTCACAGGGGCGCCGAACTTCTTCATACGCAACTCCAGACGTTCCTGGGCTGACATGTCAGACAGCTTTATCACCTTTTTGTCACTCTCACCGAGTACAGACAGTGGGTGATCGGTGGATTTCTCAATATTTAAGACGTCGGTGTCCTTAGAGGCAGCCAAAGAATTTTCCGGACTTACATCAGCCACATCTGGAAGTGGGGCGACAATAAGCTTTCGCTTCAGAACAATCTTTCGAGTTGGAGGCTCGTTGGATTTCTTTGTCTCATCTGGAAACTTATTAGCCAAACTTGTAGAATCAGCAGAAGGCGACGGACTGGCGAGAATTACATCTTCGTGTGAAGTTTCTTCCAGCAAATCCTTGGCGTTCTCCAACTCTTCATCCTAGAAATTGCAAAGATGCACGTATAAGAAACCTCTCCAACAAATACATCATGAAAAAACCAGGGACTTACATTCAAAACCTCATCATCATCCAACTCCTCTGAAATAGCTGTGTCCTCGAGAACAGGGTCAGAATCTGCAAAATATATCAAAACATTCAGTCATACACGTCACTGCTCATCTTCTTGTAATAATACTCACCCAAGAGAGCCATTTGCAGTCTTTCCTGAAGCTCAGTCTTGTTTCCGCCGGTGCTCAATCCACGATTTTTAAGTTCCCTTTTGAGATCAGCCACCTAAACATAACCTCAAATTAGTTGCATCCTCAAGCGCTATCTCGGAATTTCTTTTTCTGCCCTACCTTCATCTTCGAGAAGTCGGTGTCAGCCATGAGAATTACAATACCAAGGTATATTTGTCCAAAGAATCCTTTTTAGCACTTTATCAGCGGGGAAATGGAATTTTCCGTGAACAAAACAAGCCGATATATGACAGCGCAGGAAAAAACATAGAACTCAGATTGACTCACAGAAATTCCGCGAGAGGCACCATTGTCGGTGTAAAAAATGCAAGAAAAGTAACGGGAGTGCATTTTGTCTAGAGAAAATCGCGAAAATACGGTCCCAGATGTTGAGGAACGTGCAAATAACACCCTAGAACCATTGCTGAACGTGTTCCCTTAAATAATATTCCGCTTTGACACCCTCCCCGCTGCATTCTCATTGCCAATTTCATTGAAAACTTCAAGCCATGACGGCACCCATTGAGTCACACAATTCATGATCTTTTTCTCTCAAGTTTAGGCCATACTTTTAGCATATCTCAGTCGCAGGAAACTTTCTACAGCCCCTCTCTTGCTTTTCTTTTGGTCTTGTCCCCCAACTTTTCTCTTTTATATATCCCTCACGGTGCGATATTTTGCAATAATGAATATACAGACGATCCGGAATGTCAGCGATTGTGTACCACTTTTCCTGCCGCACAGCTTGTATCTCAAGCCTACTGCGAGAATCAACATTTCTGTATCATTGCCACCCGCCGTAGTCGGGAAGAACATCTCTAATTGGGATGTGATGGAGAAGTTACGCTCAATGATTGAGCCAGAAACTTTCTCAGTCCTCAAGGTAGATTTTAGTCATGCACGGGTATTGAATTGTATAAATAATTCATAGACTCTTTCTCACTTTTGCAGGTCTCCAAGAGCACGCTAGAGTTCATAAGATTGGAGGCAGAAGTTGAGGATCGAGCCAAGCTGAAGAATGTGTTGGCCCGGCTCGATGGACGCATGATAAAGCTAGCTAATTTCTCTGAAAACGTGCGTGTTCGAGGTTCGGAGGCAAAAGATGATTTTCCCACTCGCCACGATTGGGACACATTTTTCCGAGATGCTCGCAACATGGACGAAATGAAAGCTGGCGAGCGTCCAGACACAATTCATATATCAAACTTACCTATAACTTGGTTTTGTCCACGTCACATGGAAAATACTGATAATCCAAAACCGAGTGAAAACATATTTAAGAGGATCTTTGAGAAGTTTGGAGAAGTGCGCTGCGTCGATATACCCATATGTGATCCGTACAGAACAAAGATGAAGGCACATCTCACTGGAGCACAAACATTCTCCTTTGATAACGAAGTCTACTTCGAAGGGTAAGGATTTTATCATTTTTCTATATTCAATTGTATCTACATTTTCTTATATGCACTTCGATTGCACTCTAGGTATGTCCAATTCAGTGAATATTTGAGTTTTGTAAAGACTATGGATGAATTTCGTGGCATGAAGCTCGTTCGTAAGGATGGAGATAAAAACTTGGCAGTCAACATTGTTGTGGAGTTCGATAAGACCAAGCATCTTAGTGATACATCACTGAAGAAACGTCGAATTATAAGAGAACGTCTGATTGCGAAGGAGAGAGCTGATGAGGAGGAAAACAAGAAGAAACAGAAAGCGTTGGAGCAGAAGAAGGAGCGTGAGAAACAGCGTGAAGAAGAACGTAAACGTATTGAGATGGAAAAACAGAAGGAACGCGAAGAAAGGCGTAAGGAGAAGCACCTCAAGAAGCTACGAGAGAAGGAAGAAGTCGAATTGAATGCCAAGATTCGTGCTGAGGAGAAAAAATTACTAGAAACTCAGAGAAAACTTGAAAGCATTCGACTCTTGGATGCTCTATTTGAGAGAATTAAGTTAAAATCAAGTGAAATGGTAGAGTTAAAGAAGGAAGAAGAAAAAGGTTCTTCGAAGAAGAAGGAAAAAAGCAAGAAATTGGAGAATCTACCAGAAAATGATTTGAGGAAGAAATTGGTGAGTCGATATAAAAACACTCACGAGGAGGAGCTGGAGAAAAGACGTGAGAAGCTGAAGAAGGTCCGAGATGATGTGATTTTACAGGATTTGCTGGTCAAAGGTCGCTCCAGATCACCTAGTATTGATACAATTAGTTCAAATGACAGTGTCTTCAGTGAGAGTAGTGCGAAATCTGCGAGCAAGAGGAAGAAGAAAAAGGCGAAGAAAACCAGGAAATCCTCATCATCGGAAGGTGACTGTTCTTGAAGAGATTTGATATGTTTACATGGACTGAAATTGCTGTTTTTTTTTCTTTCAGAGAGCGAGAAAGCGAAGAAAACTGTACAACCGCCGGCCTTTCCGGTTGTTTATAATCCCGAAACTGGTGAATACATACCTATGGGAATGTATCCATATGCCGGTTTCTTCCCACCTGCTCTTGCTCCAGGTCTGCCTTCGTCATATTTTGGGGGAATGGATGGGATGAAGCCTTACAGAGGTGGAGGTGGAGGATATTCACGCTTTCCTCGAGGCAGAGGTAGATCATCTTATCGTGGAGGACGTGGTTATGGAGGATATCGGTAAAATAAGTTACTCTACTGACCATGAATTCCATTTAAAAATTATTATATATTTCAGGGGATACGATTACGGCGATGACTACAGACATCGTAGGACTGAGCATGATGATCGTCGGTCGAGATCGTACTCGAGATCGCGCAGTCGTTCTAAGTCTAAAACACGTCGCAGGCGCTCCAGGAGTCGCTCACGTTCGCGTGAGAGGTCCCGGGAAAAATCTCGGGAACGATCTCGATCGCGCAGTCGCTCAAAATCACGATCGAGAAATAAGAATAGACGTTTGGCGTCCACACGTCGATCTCGGGATCGATCTTCTTCCTCAATGTCAAGATGGTCGTCTCGATCACGAAGCCGAGGACGGCATAGATCTCGCAGAACATGGTCCAGATCGAGGTGAGCTAGGTTTTATTCTCATTGTGATTATTGCTTACTTTTACTTAGACCATCTTTTATCATTTACAGATCGAGATCAGAATCACGTGGGAAGTCCAAGTCGAGATCAAATTCTCGTTCGAGGAGAGTAAAATCTCGATCACGATCGAGATCCAGGAGGAAGAATACTCCGCCGCCGGTAAAGCTGCAAACTGAGAAATTGGTGAAATCAGCAAAAGAGATCCAGAGGAATGTAGCGGAAAAGCTGCAAGAACGTCTGCGCGAAGAGGAGGAAATGAAGAAAAATCTCCTCGAGATGGAGAGAGTGGAAAAGGAAAGAGAATTCAGAGCGAGAGTAGAGACGGCAAATAAGCGAAGATCCAATTCTGCTGCAAGTCCCAACGATAATTCCAACTTGATCTCTACATCGCCGAAGCAGTTGAGTCTGTCTCCCGAGGAGCAGAAAAGTCCTCAGTAGATTAATTATTTATCTATAGCATCTGTATTCTCTTGAATTCAGTCTAGAATTAACATGAATGTGAAATCGACAAATTGTGTTGTTTTGGCTGTTTTACGACGCTACATGTATGCACTAGGAGTAGAACGTGAGGACGGATGTTTGATTGCCGCGCACAAGAAGCAATGGTGGCATATCCTTGGTGAGGATCTCCAGCCAAGACATGTACATGGGAGCTGATACAGTATCTTGGCGTGGCATTGGCAACGACATGACTACAAGAGAGGCGTTCTTGGAGTGCTGCTGAACCATTTCACGAAGACGCAACTGTCGGAATGTCTTCTCTTGCAGGCGAGATCTCTCCCCCTCTGTAATGACACATTCTCCTTGACTCTGACCCTCTAGGAAGCCACTGAGAATTTTCTCATGCATTCTAATGGTCTCGTCTTTTGGCCGATCAGTGACACCTTCCACCATGGTAAGAGAAGAGAAGTCAATTCGCAGCTTGTTGAGTAGATTAGCCATGCTGAAGAAAAAATATCACATATATCACAGTGAAGATGGAAAATAAGGATGAATCTCACTTTCTCTCCTCCAGTTCCAATTCCATACGACGATTCGTGAGGGCGAAGACACGGATCTTGCTGGATGCCCAGGAATTGCGACTAGAAATGATGTAAGGCAGAAGCATGGTGAGACCTCCATCATCATATAGCCACCAGACATCAATTGTGCGGTTCTCCTGTTTTGTCTGGAACACTCCCATGGCGTCAAGGATGTCTTTAGGCACACAGGAACCTCCTCTCGTTGAGTAAACGATGTCATTTCTCGCCATGGCCTCTCTCAACGCTTTCTGATTAGGCATGGGAGCTGAGGGACCACAATAAATAGCCATGATTATTTTTTTCAAATACTGATTATCATTCATTCTCTAGGTACTCACGAGGCATGGGAATCGTTAGGGAGTTTTGTGTACTCGTCCCGAGAGCTGAGAGATTGAGATTGGAGTCGGCATGCATGAAACGGTTAGGACGTATAGCCAGCAATTCTCCAGTCACAATACCATCAAGACTGTTGAAATTAGCTGTACTGCTATTGGCTGTGAGTCCTCCATGTGGAGTATTGGGAATATCCACATTTAAATGAGAGAAATCCGTTCCATTCGGAAGTCTCAGGATTGCCACAGATAAACGATTTGTAAAAGCATTGCTGTAACACAAAGACAATTATTCTATCAGTCCCGCGTGTACGAAAAAAAAACATAAAAACACCACTTACTGGAGAACGGTAAAGTAAGAAATCAACTCATCGTGATTACAAGTCTTCCAGTCACTCTTGTATCCCATAAGAAGGATGTTGGGAGATAACTTCCCAAAGCCAGAGGCTTGAATAAGCGCACGCACGCCCTCCTCAAGAGAGAATCCCTCAACAACATTGTAGAAGGCTTTGATCTTGCGTGCCTTCAGCCACTTTTGGCCCTCCTTTATATTAGTCATACGGGATTTATAAGACATCTTTTGCGAAATTACCTCCCCAACGATCATCAAGGAGTTGTGCTTGGTAATGAGATTGGCTAGATCAATAAGTGGCGGTCGATGCTGAGGTTTTCCCGCTAAAACGAGAATCTGAGGATGGTAGTTTTTCACGTGGTCTCCAATGCTTTGAAGTCGAAGAGCTGAAGAAAGCGCAGTTTTGTACGTTTGAGCTTGCGTAGATGAGCCCCAATTAACATCTGGCTTTCTGTAGACTACCAAGAGATACAGGGCAAAGATGATACCGAACGTTATGAGTGAAGACACCCAGCCAATCAGGAACATTATGGCCACACAGAGAAGGAATCCAAAGAGACTGACCCATTGATTGTAGTATCTGAATGTCGGTCGCCAGCCCAATGGCTTGATAAGGGCTGCATGGAAGGTACAGAAGTTGATAAGAGCATATGAAGCGAGATAGAAGGTAGAAATCAGGGGAGCAATGAGATTCAGTTCAGCTGCAAGAAAGACAACATCTTATTAGTTGTTTGAATGTGATTGAAGCATTTAAAAGTATTTTACCAATGAGAAGAAAACTAGCTGACACAATAAACGTGAGAACGTAGCCTCGGTATGGTTCTCCATGTCGTCCATAGCCTTTGGAGAAGAAGATCAGACCTGGGTAGATTCTATCGATTCCTAGAGCTTGAATTAGGCGTGGAACTGACAGGAGATTTGTCAGGGCAGTACTAAGAGTGGCTGCAAAACATCCAGCATAAATCAGAGGCCACCATGCTGACATAACTTGCTGCAAGGGAATTGTGCGGTCACGTACAGTAAAGGATACTCCGAATGCTTTTTACTGGGCACTTACCATCATGGTGTAAGAGTTATGAAGTCCCCATTGACAAGTCTGAAAACACAAATATTTTTCAAATCTCAGATCAAATTTTTTTTTGTGAAAACTTACCAGATTCGCCACACAGTCCAGAGTTCCGTTGTGGCCGATGTCAGAAATGAGACCAGAAGCGTCTCTAAGACCACCAGCTCCGGCAAAGAATACGAAGGTCAGGTAGGATATCATAGAGAATAAGAGAGCCGTCATGGTTCCTTTGGGAATCGATTTGGCAGGATCCTTGAGATCGCCTGATATATTGGCGCCTGCCTGAATACCCGTCACACTGGGGAAGAATATAGCGAAGACGCTGAAAAAATTCTGATCCAGTCCTTCACTAAATCGATAATCTGGTCCCCAATTCTCAGTGAAGAGAGACGTACTCATGCCAACGAATCCTTGAGCTATTTCTTGATCAGATTTCGGTCCAATTATAATACCGATTATGAAGTTTACAATAGCAACTAGGATGATAATGACCAGGAAGTTTTGAGCCTTACTTTCCCAGTCCATCCCCACTGCGCATATTATTATCATCACGAGCACAGCAACAACACCAACAATGCGAATATCATTGTTCCCACCATCGATGATCTTCATGTCATAAGATCCTGATGAAAGAAATGTCTAATTAAACTCTTTTTTCTAATCGTCAGATTGCACAGGTGCGAGAGACTCACTCAGGAGGTCATTGAGGGAGCTGCAAAAACCGATAGTATTCATAGACGCAGCCACAGCGTTTGCAAAAGCAAATACAATGCCCACAGATGCTCCGAATTCTGGGCCCAGTGATCGAGATATGATGTAGTAGATTCCGCCACCCTTCACCTCACCATTAGTACTAATCGCTGATAAGGAGAGTGTCGTGACGAAACACACAAAGTAGGAGATGCAGATGATGAGGATTGTCTGTCCAATTCCCGCCAAAGACACAACCCACGTGAGTCGCAAGAAGAGCATCACACCCCAAATGTTGAGAAGGCATGGAATCAGGACGCCCTGAACCCAGCCCAATTTGATACCGTGGTGCTCCGCGGCAGGAGTAGTTCCCTCATCAGGCGCATCCTAAACAGAGAAAACAGTCTGTTAGTTATCAACTAAACATCTTGTAGACGGCATCGGCTTATCTTGTAGCCAAAATGGGTTGTTTTTATTGCTTTATCAATTCCCATAATTTGCCCCACAATTCACCAAATTATACCACTTCTAAGCGGTTCCCGTGGAGTTTGGGCCAATTACCTCTTCATGCATGAAATTTACTTGAAATTCTGTCATTGAGTCTCTAAAAATTTTACTACTGTCACGATTATAATTCATTAAAAATGTCCCTATACATTGAAAAACCTGAAACAGATGTTTAAATAAACTAGCTTTTGTAAAAGTGTAAACACCAGCACTTCTTTCTGCTTTGCATAAAAGAAGGTATTATATGTGTAATAGAAAATTTAATGGGTTTTTACACTACTCTACAGTCACTTATTCAGAGGTTTTTGTGGTTTAAAAATTTGTCAGAACTAAGGCATAAAAAAAGCATAAAATTTAAACGTTTGCGAGCATTCTCAACTTTATAAGGTGTTTGTTTGATTTGTAGGTATTTAAGTCATTATGCATTGGGTAAATTTTACGATTTTTCTAATTATCATCTCGATAATACTATATTTAATCAGTCCATCAACTTCTGAGGCCCTTGTAAATCCCATGCGCAAATGTTTCTCTATACATTCGCTAACAACACTAATGAATATGACAATATGTCTTCAAATCACCTGAATAATGTCCCTACTCTTTATTCAGATTCTAATGGAGTGGCATTCACTCATGCAAAGTGTGAAAATCTTTCCAACATATGTATTGCATCGAAGAAAAACGGAAGAAAGAAACATTGGAAATATTACAGGTATATTTTTGAGTATTATGTTGGTTATTTCTAGATTTGACTACTTTCCGTGTGAATTGGACAATTTAGATAACATTTTCACATACAATGCAGTATTGCTAAGGTGGACTTGAGACTGATTCCCTTGGTTTTTCCTTCAATTGCGCATTGACATGGGATAACATTGAGAAGCAGTCGATTTTCTGTGAATATTATCTTTAACTGCGATATTGTTCGAGCAATAATAGCAAGGAGAAAGAATGAAAGAGAGCGCGAAATATATGCATGAAAGATGTGTTAAGAATTTGTGTAAATCCTCAATTGTGACAACAAGTTCATTATCACTCATTGTCAATGAGCGTGTGCCGAAAAAATCATCCACGAGATCACGTCCAGTGCTTTCGTCATGGTACTGGAGCTCTCTCTTTCTCTTGGGTGGATGGATCACAAGGTGACTATCAATTGACCACCGCCACTGGCCGTCGCGACGATCTGGCTCGAGGCAGTTTCTAGTGGCACGCTATTATGGCAACACACCGATTAAAAGTCTACTGAAATCTTCCAGGAAGTTCAATTAGAGGGTCTGTCTTAATGCTTCAGAGCGGTTGGCATTAGATCTCTGTGCGTCACAGATAATAAAGGGAAAACTCACCGTCTTTTGCTCCAGCTCTCCATGAAGTTCACCGAGCGATGGCCTCTTGAGAGCCCTCTTGGAGATCCGGTAATTGTCAAGGCGGGGCAGTGCCTCCCTGGAAGCACGGAGAAAGTGTCAGGAAGTTAAATAAATGGGATGGAGATACGGTGATATCATGCATTAGCACACAAGGTGAGAATATTCATATTCACAGCGCGTGCAAGTGTGCAGTTGATTAGAGTCATAATGCATTCAATGATAATTCTATCACTTTGCACTACCCCCGATATATGTATTAAAAAGAATCACATCACTATGTTAAATCTTGATGCCCAAGAATGTAATTTTAGAACTTCTTGGTACTCTTTCTCCAATGATACATACCTGGTCAATTGGGCGAAACTTTTCTTCCTGATTCCGTCCATGTCACAAACGGATATCCTTTTGGGCTCCTCTGGACTCTCATTCCTGTACGTGCCATTCTGAGATGGTGGTTCAGAATCCTCTCCCACACGAAACACTTTAAAACGATCCTTCATCTCTATAGAGATCTTTGCCACGGAAATGATCAATAAATGCGAATCACTTCAACTTTTACTGAGTCTTGTACTGAATTTATATCACCAGGAAAACCTCATATTCCCTCACTAAGCCACAAATGCTGCTTTTTGCGAAAGGTTCTCGCTTTTTTTTCCAGAGAAAACCACTCGCTTCAAATAAAGATCACTTGACAAATTTACAGTCACTTCGCGTAGAGAAAAAGCTTAAATGTCGTGTGCGTGCGAGTTTTCCACGGAAGTGCTTCAGGTGAGATATTCACTGAGTGTTTGAGCCCGAAGACAGTGAGAGTCGCTCTTTTATCCTCACGAACAGCCTCAGTTTGGCTGCTGGTCGCGATCCGCAAATTGGGAAGGCAAATACTTAGCTTCAAGCTCTCTTGGCGTCACTCCAATGGGAGCCCAGTGAGTGTGTTTCGTCACTCAGCTACTGGACTTATTAGAGCTTTTACACTCTCTGCTCGCGTTTTTCTCACCTCACTCACTTCTCTCTTCTCTCTGCGGCTTCATCGACAAACAAACTGAATCACACATTGTTACAGTGATTGTGAGACGAAACGAACTCTAGTTGATCCCTTCGTGAATCCTTCAAGAGAGACCATAAAGTGTAGAAATTTAAATATTATACACTACCACTATTATGAACTGACCTTTGAAATAACACAGTTTTCGTCTTCTGTGTCCTTCCCCATATTTCGAAAAAAAGACGTATTTTTATGAAGTGTTTCAATTTCATCCTCATCATTTTATTTAAACACATTAAAATGAGCAGAAATTCCCCAGGAATATAGTCTCGGAATAATTAATAACAAATTAACAGACAACAAATAGAATTTTCATGGTAAGTTTGTTGAAATCATTGTCTCGATCCAATGTGGTAAAAAGTACACATTTGCGTGATCGTCTTAATGAGATGCGGCGTTATGTCCAAAACACACCTCCAATCCAACTCCCTGAATCGCCTGTAACTAGTTCCATGAGGATAAAGCCAACGGCTAAACTTTACGCCATTTGGAAATTATTTCACAATTGAACGTCAATTAACATCACAAGTGAAATTTGCACTGAAGCCTCGCAAAGTGCTAAGTAAGAATTCTCCACCAGAAATATCCACCCTGATGATCTCAAGATTGTTGGAATTGGATCAAAACTATAGTCGTCACCGGCGTGAATTGCCCTTTTATCTATGCATTCGATGGCCAGCAGAGAAATAAAGAACTTTGTGACGTGCAACCTTGCTTTTAGTCCTGTTAAAACTGGATTTCCATCGAAAGTGGCACCTTCCTAATCAACAACTCTCATCTCTTGACACTGCTATCGCTCACCATAAATATTGGCTTATCTATCAAACCTTTAAACGATTATCTTCCACGATAGGAATTCCAAGAAAATCAAATCATTGTACTTGATGAAAGAATAAAGGAAATCAAATATCATTCATTTCACGCCCTTCTTTATTTTTTTCCAATAAAATATGCAAATATGTTAGGATATTATGTATCAGGAAACCTATAGATTACCTAGTAGCTTTTAGTGCACTTTTTCGTGTTTATTATGCCATTCATTACTGTCAAATCCTCCAAAAACTCCCGACAGCTCAATTCCTTCGAGAGTTTCTTGTGATGTTGAGCACGCAAAAATTCAGTAGTAAGCTCTTCGTGGGTTATTCTGTAAGTGAAAAACACCAAGAGTTAGATTCCGTGATCTTGAAACTTCTTAGTGTGATTTCGTCAGTGAATTTTACAAATTAATACGGCAATTTGCACGATTTCAGATATTTTCTTTTAAAGTGTTGACTAAAGTATAAACCTCGTAGACATAGACGTATCAACACATTTTGTTTTGTTGTCTTACCAAGAAATACGTTAAACACACATAATCCCATCAATTTGCATGATATCTAAGAACTCTTTAAAACGTCACTAGTGTGAAAATTATGCCTTACATAAAGGATTTCATAAGAGTGACGAACTCAACTCGTGATCCTGTGATGGCAAAACATCACACAATTAATCTTTTCTAGCATTTTTCTTAGTAACAGCAACTGACTCATCAAACAATAATATTGCGGATATGTTTAAGTCCAATAACATTATTATTGAATGAGAACAAAGGTGATTTAATATCGAGAAATTGTGATTGTTCAATAAATTCAAATTCGAGCGGAATTTTTAGAAGAAATGCCCTCATTTTTTCCCCACTAAATCAATTTTCCTACTCGGAAGAGTTACAGAGTGACAGAAAAAACCACTCACCAGTGGATTTGGCCGAAATCGATAGGCCAACATCATTCGTCGCCTGTAGGCTTCGTACTCATTCTCTTCCTCGGGTGGAGTGGCATTGGAATTGGCACCCAGTCCCTGGTTCATTTCCCTTTGGGACGCTCTGCAATAGAACGTACCAGACAATTAAACGTGTAATAGATAAATAGAAGAATCAAAAACTCACTTGTTAATTGGATCGACAATTCCAGTGCGACCCTCCGCTCCCAATCCTGTACCCTCCTTCCAACCCAACTTCTGCAGCATTTGGAAACCTGAGAGTGAATGCGAATTTGAGAAAAAAAATCTTTATAATAAAAATTGAAGCAAGAGAAAAGCTCACCGATATTATCCTCCTTCAATTTGTACTCCTTGTAGTCACTCATATCTGGCTCTCGATTGTTCTTCTTAGCATTGTATTTCTCCATGAACTTTCTGAGTTCTTCCGGCGGCAAGAAGTCACCGATATGATGACGTCCCTCTGACTGCTTCGTGAGCGCTTCAGCCCACGCCTTTGTGGCGTCCATCTCTGCCATTCTCAGCTTGTGTTCCCACGTTCCACCTGTGATGTCCTCATCGGAATCGTATTCATACTTGAACTGGCCCTTCTTCGCCAGTCTATCAATCTCTTGTCGCTTCTTTAGCATATCTTGATAAAGTAGATTAATTTTGTAATGATCTTCTGCCTTCTTCCAGTCCTCCTCACTAAGATTAGTCGTGCCAAAGTTCTGTAGTGCATACTGCAGAAGTGCCGGATTGCTCCTGCTCACAGTGCTTAGACTGGGTTTGCTCTGGCTCTCTGGTGGCGAAGGCACCTTTGACTCCTCCACCTTCTCACCCCAGCGACTTCTCTTGCGCCTTCGCGACGATGAAGAAGCCGATGACTCTCCCTTCAATTCAGCCGCCCTGTCCATGGACTGGAAATCTCGCGAGTCCATAAATCCTCCACTCTGACCACTCTGTTCCGACTCCGTGGAGTCTGTATCATCGTAATTGACAGCACTACGACGCTTCATGTTGTTAAAACTCCTCTCCTTCACCTCCCGTCGATACTCGGAATCCGAATCATGGGCATCCTCCTCATCATCTTGGTGCTTGAACATTTCCGTGAAGCGTCTGTGGTATTCAAGATATTCCTCAGCCTCCTCAGCGCGCTCGCGCTCCTTGAGCGCCTCCTCGTCCTCGTAATCGTTGCACACCTCTTCTGGATCGTACTTGTCGGACTCCTTGAACGCCACTTCCTTCATCCGCCCCGAGCGCACTTCAACCACCTTCCGCCTATAATTCTGGTATGCTTCCGACTGTGTGTCGAAGAGAAACCTGCACACAACAACAATCAATTTGCTTGTCTCTCAATCTCCTTTTCTCTTTTTCTCTTATCTGCCTCTTTCACCCTCTCTTGCGCCCTGCCACTAGAATCTAGCCACAAAAACATTATCTTCAAAACGAATAGAAAAAAAACTCCTTATTTGCTAGTATTATCTAAAATAGTCAAAATGACTATTACGTTGGCCCAAGGACTGTTCTTTTCTGCCAGCTTTCTCTTCGTCTTCTACCTTAATTCCTATTTTTATCATCCTTTTATTTATTGCTTATGGCAACTCTATTGATTTTTATTAAAGTCACAATTTTTTATGCATCATTCTAACTACTGAAAGCAATTGGAATATCAATGTTCTTCCTTCACAACACAGAGAGAAGAAAATTATCATTTCCATAATTTTCACATTACTTTCATTCTCTCTTCTCCCCGCTCTATTTTCACATAGTGTCTCTACTAGGGAGTGAGAGAGAAAATCCATTTGATCAATTTGCATGTAGTACGTACATATGACAACAAGTAATTTAGCATTCAATTTGGCAGTAAATTAACAACGAAAAAGGCAAACGACATTTGGATATTTACTTTGTTACTCTTCTTTCAGTGACAAGTGGCAATCGATAAGCAAATTCAGACAGAAATTTTCTTCTCTGTGAACCTTCCTTTAACTATACTGGACTGCAATATATCACATCTATATTGAAAACTATAATGAAAATAGTTGCATGAAAATTGAATCAGGTCTTTGTGATATTTTATATTAACTTGCAAAATTGGCAGCAAAAGAGAGACTGAATATTTAAAAGGTGTGTCAAAGAGGAAAGCATCAACATTTTACATAAATAACACATTAGCACGCAAAATACCAAGGAGGAACTGCTGGACGCCAATTGTCTACTAAAATAATTCAAATCGTTCAAACATTACACATTCACGTGAATTCAAGAAGTACGAGTACAGCTGTCCTCTGTAGTATTTTCACGCGTTTGTACACTAAATTATCATTCTCTGCTTCAGTGCTTCTCAATCTGTAGTCTTTTTAAATTAACACTACAATTTTTTTTCTTCATTTCAAATTTGCATAATAAACTGATACAACTTGTTAGGATTTCACATCAATTGAAGAGCACTGAATTGGTCAATCTACAGAAACATACTCATAGAAAGAGAGAAAAGAAACTGATAGAATATGGGAAAACTCTTAAGATTAAGGACTTATCGAAAACAAGGCAAAAAAAAAGAAAATTATCTTTGCAATTAAACTAAGAGATAGAAGTACTCTCTTCATGTCATAAATATTTTCTCAGTTTTTTATCTTTTTTGTAATCTTATAATCATAATATTTTTGCAGAGGCTGTAAAGAGGAATAGACTTTAAGTCGTCATTACCACAGTGATGAATGAACATCATTTTTTCGTGAACGTATTTTATCTTCATAGGCATCGCCATTTTCGGCTACCATTACGACTAACGTGTCTATGGTTGTCGGAATAATTTCATTGTCTGAAAAAACTACATAAAAAATATCACCAAATGTGAACAGAAATAATTTCCACTTAAATGTTATTGATTTGATAAATGGATCATTAGTAGAACCAAAACATGTGTATTGATGTGATGGACGGACGAAGCAGAGAACATCTACTCCAGTCCGTCCCTTAATTTTGATCATATGCACATGAATAGAGTGAAAGAGCATCTCACCTGTGAGAAATTGCGGCAGCGGTGGTGGAGGCGGTGGCGGCGGAGCCGCTACAAATTCAGGCACTTTGATGACATCCAGATTGAGCTCAGGCTTGGGAATGGCGTTCAGATCGAGCGCCTTCGGGGCGGGAATCTCATTGAGCACCAACGGTGCTGGCGGAGGGATAGTGTGCAGGAGGGGTGGTGGGAAAGCCGGTGGTGCAACGGGAGTGGGTGGAGGTGTGGACAGAAGAACGCCAGGGGGAGGAATGTTAGGATTGAAGAAGGGTGGCGGAGACTTTGCATTAGAAACAGAGACGGGAGCCGTGATAGGTGGGAAACTGGAACAGGTGGGGGGTGGCGGAGGAGGAATCTGCAAGGAAAACGATTGGGACTGAGCCATTTCACGACGCTCCTGAGCCACAGCTTGGCTCTGCATCATAGCATATTCGCTCCTGTATGGAGACTCTTTTCTCTGTCTCCTCTCAAATTTCTCCTCCCTGTCGACAGAATTTTGTCATAATATATACGTAGTTATATGATAAATATGTAAATGAGTTTGAAAATAGTCCCAATATACCTCTCATGTGAACCGGAATCCTCGCAACTACCCGAAGTTGGATGACGACTGTCATCCAACTGTGTCCCCAGAGCCTCATCAGAGCCCTTTGTGTTCAGCGCAGTTGTGGCATTTGCCGCTTGCGTGATCTTTTTGAAATTCTCGAGGAAAGAGCCATCGTTATTGAATGAATTCCGAGGAGTGGCAGATGTGCTGGAAAAACAGCAATTTCAGTGAATTATTCAGGAGAAAAATGCTGTGCGTCACATCAATATTTACCTTGTCTCTGTAGTATCCGTGCTCTTGTTACCCTCATTCGTGGCCGCCGCTATAGCCTTGGCCAATTCCGCTGTACGTTGCTTTTCAACCAGCTCCCTCTTTTTCTTGGCAATTATTTCCTCCTGCTTGGTCATCTGAGCCACCCGGTCATTCCGGGAGGTAGTGGTAAAGCGAGGAGGCTTTATGGTCTTCTTCTCCATTTTTCCCGTCAACGCCCAACCGTAATTACTTTCACTAGACACTTGTTACGTCACTAAAAATCACTACATCACTGAAGAGAGTCGTTTAATGTAATATTAGAAAGATTTTCGGGAAAATGTAGATCCTTCAGACCTAAACACTGTTCTGTGTATGTTTGTAGGTTAGGAATGTAACTTGCCGTCAAAATAATATCGATCGATATCAGACAATCCAATCGCACATCGGTCAGCACTGCGGGATTTACAGATTTCCAGTCATTTACAGGATATGACGGCAATTTTTCATTGTAGTAGTTTATAATGAAGTGTTAATTGTGTAATTTTATATCTTTTTGTCGCGAGAATTACGTAAATACTAGCCGAAATCTCTCTGAAAAAGGAGCGAAAATTCTGACCGACACTCTCAACATCACCACACTGACTATTGCGCCTCTCGTAAGGAAAAGCAAAACTACAATGAGCGGGATGTAATTTATCATTTATGCATCGCGCATTTCATTTTTTATTCTCTCTTTTTCGATTTACGGTTCAACATTAGGTCGGTGAAGACGTTATGCTGAATTTTTCGATGTTGATTCAAGTACTTTATCTTCTCAAAAATCCGATCACAATCGTCACATTTGTAGGCAGGAACCGCGTCTCCATCATGAGTTGATTGGTGTTTCTTCAGTGATGTTTCGCTGATGAATTTCCATCCACAAATTGTACATGGGAAAAATTTCCTAGTCTCCGAGTGCTGAAGACGTTCGTGCTTCTTCAGGGACTGTCTAAAGGTGAATTTTTTCTGGCAAATGTCACATTTATACTTATCGTCCCTTTCTGCCTTCGGTATGTGCTTTCGCAGGTGTTCAGTGAGTTGATGACGAGTTCTAAACCTCTTCGGACATACGTCGCAGGCATATGGAGTGTAGCCAGTGTGGGTTTTCATGTGATGCCTCAATGCAGACAATTGAACTGTGAATTTCCCACAGACTTCGCACTGGAAGGGCGACAGAGGCTTGGGATGATCCGGATGCTGAGCCTTGTGATGAAAATAAATTTTGGGATATGTGGAGAAAGACTCCGGACAGTAAGCACATGAGAAATTGTTCACTACTTTAGGCTGGAACACATTACACTCATGCCTGCTCTTATATATCCTATTGCAAAACGGGCACTTTCGTCTGCTGGATTCACCGAGCTTTGAAGTTCCTTGACCATCTTTTGTTTTCTTCGGTTGTTGACGTAACCCTTGATCATCTCTCTTCCGAATGTGTTTCTTCATGTGCAAGACAAGGTAGCATTTCTTAGAAACCTTTATCTGGCATAGTGCACATTTATATATTTTTTCCAAGAGCTTTTCGTGTGCTGTGTCAATTTCTTTTGGAGTTTCCGAATACAGAGCTACACTCTTATTGCTGGTACCCAGATAATCTTCTACAGCCACAAAATTTGTACAATATTCAGACGAGTCTTCAGTCAAATTCTCAGTCTCTTGCTTGATCAATTCACATTCCTTGTTATTCAAGTTATCGTCAAGTCCTTCATCCTTTGATATGCTTTCGCGGGATTCGCTTTTTATATGGAAATTTATTTTTAAGATGAGAAAGAGTTGATTTTTGATGGAAGAAAACTCATTGTTGTTGTCTGTGCATATTTCACATTTAGGAACCGAACTCTCATGCTCAAGAATTTCACGGTGAATCTCTTGGATTCTTGCACACAAATTTCCTATGAAATTGCACCTATTTAGTGGTTTTTCTGCAATTTCCATCGCGGATCATGTGTGACAGCACAAATCAAAACAAAAACACAAGAAGTTTTATTCCAGTCTTTCCAGCCGTTGCGAAAGTTTTCCACAGGAATAGCATGAAAAAATTAAACTTAGAAAATCAGTCATTTTCAAGAGTATTTTATTACAATAAACGGTGGAACCGAAGCATTAATCCTTCTTTTTAGGTTTTGCATTAAGCATCAAGTCTGTAAATATTTTGTGCTGAATCTTCCGATGTTGGTTGAAGTACTTCAGCTTTTCAAAAATCCTCCCACATTCCTCACACTTGTGAGCTCGAGGAGCTTTTCCAACGTGTGACGTTAGATGTTTCTGCAAGGATGTCTCACTTATAAATTTTCCTCCGCAAATGTTACAGGGAAAGATCTTCCTGTTGTCTGTGTGCTGAAGAAGTTTATGCTTCTTCAGGGACTGCCTGAAGGTGAATTTCTTCTGGCAAATATCGCACTTGTACTTATCGTCTCTCTCAGATTTTGGGATGTGCTTTCGCTGGTGTTCAACTAGTTGTGGTCTGGTCTGGAATCCCTTCTGGCAGACATCGCAGATGAAAGGTGTGTAACCGGTATGTGTTCTCATATGACGCTTTAGAGCTGATAAACGCAAAGCAAATGTTCCACAAACATCGCATTGAAAGGGCGAAAGTGGGCGAGGTTTGTCCGGATGGTAAGTTTTGTGATGAAGATATATTTTGGGATAAGTTGAAAACGTTTCTGAACAGTGAGCACACGAAAATATAGCAACTTTGTGCTCCGTCAAGCGACACTCGTGCCTTGTCTTGTAGATCCTCTGGCAGAATGGGCATTTCTGTCTCGTATCTTCTTCCTTTTTAGTCGAGCTATCTTTTGCTCCATTGAATCTAGAATGCTTTTTAGTCCTTGGAGTTTCCCAATTTCTCATGTGTTTCCTCATATGGAGTACAAGATGGCATTTTTTGGATACCTTTACTCGGCATAATTCACATTTGTATAGCTTTTTAGTGGCTTTTAGCCGCTTATAATCCTGTTGTTTGACTATTGTCTGGAAATCTATTTTGTCTTCACTGGTGTCTGGAAAATTCTCCACAGCAACAAAGGTGGTGCTTTCAATCAAATCTTCTGTCTCATGCTTTACAATATCATATGAGCCGAGTTCTAAAACATCTGTTCCAAGCTTCTCTTCATCTTCAATTGGATTCCTTTCGTCTTTCAAGTGAAAATTGATCCGGACTATAAGAAAGAGTTGATTCTTGATGAAGCCAAACTCATCCGTGTTTCTCCAGCAAGTCTCACATTTTGGCACTAAATTCTCATGTTCAACTACTTCATTATGAATGCCAGACACTCTTTCTAATAAATTCTGCATGAAATTGCACTGATTTAGTGAGTTCTTCAAGGGATTTTCAGTACATTCCATTTTGAGATAATGACAAGTAAACTTTTTGTGGTTAGGTTAATATTCCAATCTTCCAATCAATTCCTTGCCTTTTCCAGAAATCAAAACAAAAACATATACATAAACAACATAAACTTTATATTCCTATAAAGATTAACATAAACATATCCACATATACTTTTATGATTTCTCCTGTATAATTACTTCTTCTTCTTCGGCTTTGGGTTTAACATTAAATCAGTGAAGATGTTATGACGAATTTTACGATGATGATTGAAATATTTGAGTTTTTCAAAAATCCTCCCACACTGATCGCACTTATGATTCCTTGGAGCTTCTCCCTCGTGAGTCGTTTGATGCTTCTGCAGTGACGTCTCGCTGATGAATTTTCCTCCGCAAATATTGCACGGAAAGAGCTTTCTATTGTTTGTATGTTGAAGACGTTCATGCTTTTTTAGGGATTGTCTAAAGGTGAACTTTTTCTGACAAATGTTGCATTTATATTTGTCGTCTCTCTCGGATTTTGGGATGTGTTTCCGCTGATGTTCAGTTAATTTTTGGCGAGTACGGAATCTCTTTTGGCAAATCTCGCAGGCGAAAGGCGCGTAATCTGTGTGCACCAGCATGTGTCGCTTGAGAGCGTACAAGCGCAATGCGAAAGCTCCGCATATATCGCACTGGAATGGCGACAAGGGTTTTGGCTTGTCCGGATGCTGAGTCTTGTGATGATGGTAGATTTTTGGATAAGTCGAGAAAGTCTCAGGGCAATGTGTGCATGAGAAAACATTGGGAACTTTTGGTTCTATCAATCTGCATTCATGTTTCCTCTTGTAGATTCTGTGACAAAAAGGACACTTTTGCTTATCAACTGTCTGGTCATTAAGGGATTGCTTAAATGTTTTTGATGAACGCACAGGTTTGGTCTTTCGCCTCATGATATCCATACTGCGGCAATGAGTCTTCATATGCAAGATAAGACTGCATTTCTGCGCGCATATTTTATTACAGTATTCACATTGATAATTTTTTGCAGGGTCCACTATCTCCTGCTTCTCAGGAATGTGTTTTCTTTCTGCCTTTGTTTTTCCAGGAGTCGTCAATAAGCAATCACTTAGCTCCCTTTCACAATTGATTCTATCATAATCGGACAGATCCTTGTGCAGGTGAAATTCATGTTCATTCATGACATCAGGAGAAAAGTCAGAAGAATCTTCGATGGAAACTCTTGTTTCTTCCTTAGTGATTTCATATTGTCTATCTACATCAGCTACAGCCACGGCTGCAGCTATATCTTCAGATTTCTCTTCAATTCGATTTGCTTCGTCCTTCGGTTGAAAATGAATCCTTACTATGAGAAAAAGTTGATTCTTGATGAAGGAAAATTCATTTGTGTTTTCTGAGCAAATCTCGCACTTTGGAAAGGAGTTTTCATGTTCGAGAACTTCACTGTGAATATCTGCGATCCTTTGACATAAGTTCCGAATAAAATTACACCCTTTTAGTGGATTTTCTTCAATTTCCATGATAGCACAACAGAAAACTGACAGATGTAAATGTAAATAAAAATTCAGGTTATGATCTTTCCAATGTTTCCAATATAATTCCAGTGATTCCAAATTTTTCCAACACAATGGCGGGAAATATTCAAAAGTACACACTTGCACTTATGGAAAAACTAGGATTCCGCGCTCTATCGGAAGTTGACAAGCAGAACTCATCGCCCAGCTTGCTCACCAGATGCACAAAGTTGCCGCATTGCGGAACTTAAGACTCACTGTTGCGTTGATGCTGAGAATATTGCAGAACTTTACAGTGGGCATTTTCTTGGCCAGCTCCTCCAGGCACTGGATGAGCCGCTGACACGCCGGCATGGTGTTCTCGAAGATGTGCACATTCACAGTGGAGTGTTGCTCCTCTTCCACGGCCTGCAGGAACTCCTTGGCGTTCTGCAGTCGGATCAGATGCCCGAAGGTGCTGCGGATGCCCATCTTGGCGGTGATTTCCAACACTCGCTGGCGCTGAAAGTCCATGATGCTCTCGTCGTTCATCAGCTCGGCCCTAGCACTCATAGGAAATTATTTCGGTTTAGGTTTTTGGGTCAACATCAAATCAGTGAGGATATTGTGACGAATTTTGCGGTGATGGTTGAAATATTTCAGTTTCTCAAATATCCTCCCACATTCTTCGCATTTGTGAGCTCGAGGAGGTTCTCCTTCGTGAGATGATTGATGCCTGCGTAGAGAAGATTCGCTGATGAATTTCAGACCACAAAAGGTGCAGGGAAAGTATCTTTTCTCTACTGAATGTTGGAACCGCTTATGATTGGTGAGGGATGATCTGGAGATATATTTCTTCTGGCACAATTCGCACTGGTACTTGTCATCTCTTTCAGACTTTGGGATATGTCTTCTTTGATGCTCCTCCAATTCACTTTTCGTGCGATATTTTTTCTCACATAGTTCACAATCAAAGGGACGAATCTCTGTGTGGCTAAACATGTGGCGTCTCAAATCTGAAATACGAGTAGCAAAGGAGCCACAGATTTCGCACTGAAACGGGGAGAAAGGACGTAATTTTCCCGGATGCTGAAGTTTATGGTGACGAATAATTTTTTCAAATGTGGTAAAGATTTCCGGACAGTATGCACAGTTGTAAGTACTTGAAGTTTTCATTCCTCCCCATCTGCACTCGTGCTTTCTCTTGTATATTCTATTGCAGAAGGGACATTGTTTTTCTTCGAGTTCTGGAATTTTTCTGGTCTTGTAGGGTACAGATTTCTGTCTTGTGCTAAAATGTCTTTTCATATGCAAAACAAGGCTACTTTTCTTCGGCCACATCCGGTGACACAAGTTGCACTCAAATATTTTAGGGCTCTCAGTACATGTTCTTTCCATTTTTCCACTTTTCCCATCAGCAGTCATCAGCAGATCATCTATTTTTTTATTACTGCTTTCCTCAGAATCCCCAACAGAGACAAATGTTGAAGAATACTTAGAATGAACTTCCCCCTCATCTGTAGTCAGGATGTCAACAAATGTTTTCTTTACACTTCTGTGAGCTGCATCCTTCAGCGTAATATTTATCCTTCTCGTTATCAAGATAAGTTGATTTTTGATGAATGAAAAATCATTTGTGTTTTCCAAACACCTGTCACACGTTGGCACACAGTTTTCATGTTTAATTAGATCGCTATGAATTTGTTTGATCCTCTTTTGTACACTTTCAATAAAATTGCACCGATGTAGTAAATTTTCTCTAATTTCCATTGTGTGAAAATAAATTGACAATTGAAAGCACTACTTTGGGTTATGTTTGTTTCCCCTTCCAAGAAAAATTATCGGGAATTTCAAGAATGATTTCTTCGTTCTCGTTTTTAAGCTTTATGTCCAATTTTTATTCAATGAATTGAATTCAATAAAAATTGCACAAAATGTAAAAAGATCTTCAGAAAGACTACAATAATAATGTTTATCTTGTGTTTATCTTATATGTCTTGTATTAATGTAATCTGAGACGTAGAGACTCTGAAGAACACAATACATATTATGATTTCTTGATTTGTTGAATTTGCATTCATGCCTTTTTATAAATTGTCTTGTAAAATGAAAATTTATTGCTTTTCTAGCATCCTGATTACTATATATTTGTTGTTTCAAAAAGCGAACATTTCCCTTTTCCTACTCTCTCCGAAACTTTCAGAAAGCTCTGAAATCAGAAACCCTCTTCTTTCCGGACATTCCGAAATTCGAGCTGTCAAGTGTTTGTGGTGCGGCCATTCTCATTGGGAAATTAGAAGTAATAAAATCGCAAAATGTTGTCGCGAATGGCTCTCCTGCGAGGTAAATATTAAATATTTATGTGATTTGATAGAAAATGATGTATGTAGGCACTGTAGTGCATGGGACGAATGCATGGAATCAGCTGGAAAACGAAATGAAAATGTGACAGAATGTTTATGTAATCACTCTGAGGGTGTGAGAAAATAGTTTAAGCCTGGCAAAAACACTTTTTTCAGCTGCCCAGAGGCCACTGGTGACTTCTGTGGCGGGATCTGCCACCGCTACGGCAGCGGGCGAACAAACCTTCCATCGTCCTGTGCGTCAGGAATTTCCCGGAAAAGTTCGTATGGGATTCATTCCGGAAGAATGGTGAGTCCAGTCGGTGTACACCAATTTCCAACAGACTACAATTTCCTCGTGCATTTTCCAGGTTCCAATTCTTCTACAACAAAACAGGCGTCACTGGCCCTTACAGCTTCGGCGTGGGTCTGCTTACTTATCTTTGCTCCAAGGAGATCTATGTGATGGAACATGAATATTACAACGGTCTCGCGTATGCCATCCTGATTACGGTGTTTGTTAAGAAATTTGGACCGAAAATTGCAGCATACCTCGACAAGGAAATCGACAGCTTCGAGGCAGAGTGGAACGAGGGAAGAGTCAATGAATTGAAGATGTATGAGGACAGCATCCAGGAAGAGAAGAAGTCCCAATGGTCAGCTGAGGGACAGACTCTTTTGATGCAGGCCAAGAAAGAGAATATTGGTCTTCAGTTGGAGGCTACCTACCGCGAAAGACTCATGACGGTCTACAATGAGGTGAGGATAAATGGCGAAATAATGGAGTATCCAGGAATTCAACAAATTTCAATGGTTTCCAGGTCAAGCGGCGTTTGGATTTCCAGTTGGAGGTTCAGAATGTTCACAGGCGCATCCAGCAGAAGCACATGGTGAACTGGGTGGTCAATAACGTGATGAAATCTATCACGCCTGATCAAGAGAAAGAACTCCTCAACAAGTGTATTGCGGATTTGGGTTCTTTGGCGAACAAGGCTAAGTAAGTGCTTTCAACGTCAGGAGAGATTAGCAGCAAAATACTTGATTGTCTCCATATTCACCGTGAAAATCTAGATGAACATGGTAGGATCGTTGGCAAAGAATAATAAAATTCTGTAAAAAAGTATTTTTTTTCTTTCTTTGATACCCGGGTTTCGGAGTATTTCGGCCGCGTCAGATGTAAACAAAAATGTAGGGTTATATCGGAACGTCAAGTATAGAATTGTATTTGTTGGTGAAAACTTTCTTGTTTGGTGCGTTTCTCGTGACTTATTCATAACTAAAATGCCCTCTCAGAAGCATAAAAGTACCACCAGCAGACCATCACAGGCAAAGCAGACAATGGATAAAGCAAAGATAAAATTGGAACCAGTTGATATTCTTCCACTTTCTGGTTATGTGGATGACCGAGTGGAGCTGATTAAGCAAGCATTCCAGTGTCTAAAGCCCAAATCAATCAAGGCAATAGCTCCTGAGTTCTTGCAAAATAAACCCATCGAGAAGATACAGGAACAATGCCTCAATGAAGTACTTGGCATGTCAAAGAAGCGGCTGTTGTCGATCATTAACGCTACGAAATGCCCTACGGATACTGAATCTTCAGACGAGGAGTCTGTGAGGCCCATTGAAGAGCACATTTCACTGGATGAGATCTCATCAGAGGATGAACGACCGAAGGGTATTGCTAAACGACGAGCAAAGACAGATACAAACGACAAAGAGACTGAAGAGAAGAAAGAATATTCTGTATTGGAACTTCTTGAGCTTCAAGCACGAGCGAGAGCTATAAGATCCCAATTAGCTTTGGAGCCAGTGACAAAGATTGAAATAAAAGAATCCGACGAGGAAGACGTTGCAGATGAGCCACCTAACATAAAACCAACTCCGCAATCTTCAATACAATCTATGCAGAAGAGTGCTGCTTCCAATGCATCTAGCAGTCGTAATTCAGAGAAGAGTTCTAATGTAAGAACAATTCATGTAGTCAAAAGTACTGTTCCAGGGGTAATTAAATCAAAGGAAAAGGACAAGAATCTGAGTAGGAATGGCATCGAGAAGAGCCAGATTGTTGAAGAATCAAATTTGGCCACTGAAAGACGTATAAAATTGAAGCGAAATTGGAGAAATAAGTCACAGGATACCAAGGAAGGATCTAAAATTGGTTCATCAAACTTGGTGATTGAAGTGAAAAATCCAGGAGTACAAGTGCAGTATACTAATCTGGAACATGCGAGAGACAGAAGCACATCACCAGACGTTCTTCCAATTGTTGCGAGTCCAGAAACTTTCTGTATCTCCAGTGACACAGACGAAGAGGCTTCTGAGAAGAGGATTGCAAAGAAAGAGGAAATTGTAGACACTCCAGCGGTGATAGAAAAGGAATTGTGTTCTCCGAAGGATCCAGATGCAAGAGAACACAAAACAGATGAACCTCTTGAAGATGGTGAAGTTGTTGATGAACTGGAGCTGACAATACATGAGGATGATGAAAATCTTGAAGCGGTAATGTCAGAAAAACCTCAACAAGTGGAAGAGAATAAGCTCGTGGAGACTGCTGAAGATGAGAAGCAGGAAAAAGCGATCACCGAAGAGAAAATTGAGGCTGTGGCTGAAACGAAAAAATCTATCTCTGAAGAAGAAAAGTCGGATGATGATCTGAATGACGATTGTATTGAAATTGAGTGTACGGATATTTTGGAGGAGCATCAGGAGAATGTGGAGTTGAAGGGGGAATCAGACACGCAGAATAAAACAGAACCCGAGGAAGAAATTCTCGAGTTGAGTGACTCAAGCGACGAAGACAACCTTCCGCTGTCTCAGCTCATCGGGGAGAAGAGTTCACCTTCAAAAGGCAGTAAGGTAGTTTTAAAATTGAAATGAAATTACACGCATAAAAGTTGTTTGAAATTAAATTATTTAATCTCTAATATTTTATCATTATGATAAATAGGACGTAAATATTGTGGTGATGGTATCCAAAAATCTGCAAATTGTTAGATCTATCGCTTTAATGAAATTTTGGAAGAATAATAAAGAATAATATAAATTATGAGACTCTAAAGTGTTGTTCAATGTCAGAGCAAAACTCAAGAAATCTGAATGAGCGGCAAAAGTTATTCTAATTTTTGCACTAAAATTTTGCATCTCTGTATAGGTATAGAATTCTAAAAATTTTGATTACTTTTCATTTTATTCTCACTAGGAAATAACTTTTAATAATGTAATTAGGCAGATGTTTGTAATGAAATTAGTTGCAGTCATTAATTTGCATGCTCCACTAAGTTACATCTCGCGATATTTCCTTTTAATTCATTTCTCCATCATCATAACTTTTTTCGAAATTGTGGAGAGACGATCTTGCTGCTGGGCATACATATATTCCCTGATGAATGCCGATGGTTTTTATTGCAGGCTGAATCGTGGAATTCACGGTGGCTGGAGAGCTCACGCGTCTCGAAGATCATGGCGACATCTCGGCTGGGAAACTCTGTGCGACGAAAGATAAAGACAAAGGGCAAGAAGAAGAGGGAAGTAGAGGTGAATGAGACCAATTCTGTGGAGAAGGCGCAAGTGAAAGTCACTGAGTCAAGTGTGGAAGTAGGATCAGTGGAGCATTTTCGCGAGCTCGTAGGTAAGTGATCGTGCAGAGAGAAAAGAGACAGTGATGCTTACAATTACATTAAATTTATTTTCATCTTATTTTGTCATTTTATATTTGAATTTATTTTACATTTATCCATCTACGTTTTTTATCTTTTAAAATAGTCGTTTTTTCCTTCAATTTCTCTTTAATATTAAGTAAGGTAAAGAGAGAGAGAGGGTGTCTTAACGTGTGGATAGCATAGACCTTTTTGCTATTTGATACACAGAATTATATTTAAAAAAAAAAATGCAGGTTTGGGGTGTGTGTGTGGTTCAAAATTACCATAAAATAAATAATACACAAAATTAGGGCGATCTTTACCTTATAAAAAGCTTATATTACAAAATTTTAATCATTTATTTGCATTTCGCTAAATTCAATGATAATAATTAAAATAATGCCAGAAATGTGATGTGAAAAGAGTGGTTCGAGATGTAGTTTTTAGTAGGAAGTATGGTGAAGTGTGGGTTAAAAAATAATTTAAATAATTTATACTTTATTTATAATTAAGAGTTTTAAAATGTAGAAATGGAATGTGCATGATTTAGTTTTCTTCTTTACAAAATACTTCTCAACATTGAAAAGTCTCTCTTTTCCACACAATTAGGCCGTGTAGATCATAATATTTTTACCATTGAGTCTAGGATCTAGGATAATGTATATAGAGCAGTCCTAGAGGAGAAAACAGATCTAGCCATTCATTTGGCTAAATGTGTTTCGCATTCGACAAAAGGAACAGAGAATATAACTTTCTGTTTGTATTGCAAGTAGAACTACAGCGTGAATATTATTTTTAAATTGTCTCATTCGTAAGGAAGAAAACTTAGTGAAAAGTCACTTTCATCTACAACAGTTCTCAAGAAATCAATCACAATTTGGTATAACAGCATTCCATTCAATCGCTTGTCTCTCATCTTTTTTTCATAAACTTACTGTGGTCTTTCGAAGAGTGTCTCTGAAATAATTGTGAATTGAATTTATCGTGTACATTGTATAGTATATCAAAAATTACTATTTTAGTCTCGTCTCGTCATATAGTCCATCTATACAAAATATGTAAGAATCAATGTGAAGGAATGATTGATGCTTGGAGGCAGAAATGATTTAGTTGACTTTCACAAATTCCGACACATATGCTGTAGCCGCAGATTTACGGTCGAAGTGGCGCACGCGGACGAAAAGGAAGGCAGCCACTAAGGATGCGACCGCCAGGACTAGTAACAGCATGACGAGGCCTCCAACGAAGCTGGGCACGGACATGCAAATTGTCTCTGGATCGACAGAGCGTGCGGACTGGATCACCACGGTTTCATTGCCAGGCGCGCTATTGAGGGCGAAGTTTACATCACCTGGGGCAACGACTTGGATGATGCGACTCGTGTTGACGTCCGTCATCTCCTGGGCTTCCCTCTTGTAAATGCGTGGCGTGATCACCACGTCCATTGTTTCGCGCCGTCTTCGTACCCCACGAAGATCATCAAGATTCTCAACACTGCGCGGTCGGCCTCCTAGCGTGACCAGATTTCCGCCGGCGTCCACGTGGTCATCTTTCCTCTTAACCGTGCTGTATCCGGAGTGACCAGGCGGTGGTGGTGGGGGCAGGTTGATATCATTCTGACTCACATTTGGCTCTTGCTGGTTTATGTCGGGCTGTTGTGCACTTACACCCTCATTGACACTGCCCTGTTGCTGTTGAGGGCCACTCTGGGGACCGGTTTGAGCTTGTGGTGGAGGGATGACGTCCGCCTGATTCTCAGAATAGGCTCCGGAGGCGTCGGCAGGGTGTCGTGGATCGGGGAAGGCCGGTGGAAGACCGTACTCACCGCCGAGGGCACCCGCGTAGTCACCCAGACCTGGAACACCATATTCTCCGCTAATTCCAGCGCCAGGAACATGATGCTCATACCCACCGAGTCCGCCATGGTGACCGCACTTGGGCTCGGGACAGTTGTAGCGACACACCTGGATCACACACTGGAAGTGGACATTCATGGAGTCGGGGAACTTGAAAGCCTGGAAATAGGCGAAGGACACGACGCTGGCGGATGGGCCAAAGTTTTTGATCTTCTGGAATTTGCTCATGATCTTCGGTCGCACTACGCAGCCGTGTTGATCCACAAGTTGGATAGGAGCTCTCTTGCCGTCGTGGGCTACACAATTGCGCACCAGCATGTCGAATTTGTTTTCATCGTCCTTGATCGCCAGCACCATGGTCATGGTCTGACCGATCTTCACAATTCCAGACACTTCGGAGGCCCATGGACCTTTGCCAACCTGTATCTGCATCCAACACTGTAGGTTGTCGCCCAAGAAGTTGGCTGTGACCGCATGGAGCATATCTACTTGGAAAGGTCGGAACGTCACAGCTTTCTCGTAGAAATCATACCATGTGCACCGCAGTTTGCGCGCCTAGAATACACCAAGTTGTTAAATTATCAGATTGATTGAAATTCACAAAAGGAATTACCTGATCCCACACTTCTTGGACATATGGGTCGTATTGAATGATGATTGTGTTCTCGACGTAGCTGCCAGATGGAGTAGGACCTCCGTAAGCACCGGCATTGTGATTTGCTGAACTTGACATGCCACAGCTGTTGAGGAAGATTTCAAAGGTGGCACTGAGGTGACCTGTGCCCGGCTTCAGATGAACGCAATGGGAATCACTGTAGAAGCCCTTTGAGAAGATCATGCCGTAGAACGGCCGATCGAACTCAATGTTGACCCTCATATGAGTCTTCTCGCATTGCACCTGTAAATGCTTTATTTGAGGGCTATCGTTGGAGGAGGACAATGGCCAGGGATCGTCTGTCACATCATTGTTGCCTGGATTAATCAGACCCGGTGTCCCGTAGATGGCTGATGGAGCTGGTGGTCCGTAGACTGCTCTGTGTTCCAGTGGCAATGCTGCCGAGTCTACATCACCGTGTGTATTCTGCAAGGAGGCGAATGAGAAATGAAATAAATCATCAAAGGAGATCACAAGATCACCGAATTGGTGATGGCAATTAAATTCAGTCTATTTATCAAAATGTAGACCACTAGTGAATAACACTTTCCAAGATGCTCGAATGGGTGAAAGTATGCGGAAAATCAATTTGTTGCAAATTGTGTGCTTGAAAACGATCGCCTAAGAACTTTCGATGCACAGATTGGACTATGTGGAATTTTCCAAGTTCATGTCATGACCCAAAATCATCAAAATCAGCTTGTCATACCAAAGAGATGTAATGAAAAATCCCACCGCAAAATTCCAATAACGCATAATTGGATATTCAAGGTGATTTTGTGCCTCCGAGCTGCGTGGAGAAATTGCAGATTCTGGATGCTTTCGTGTGAAACAATTATCTCGATTTCATATTGGAAGTAGTTTAGACTTTGAGTCCACAAGGGCGAGAGAGGCCGAGACGTAGGTGTATTATCCGGTAGACTAAATTTGTGGCATTATTTTTGGGTTTTCCGGTCATACAATTTAATTATAACATAATTTGATTGTCTTTTCACTTGCTTTCGCCAGTGGGAGTCATGAAAATGCAACTTCTTACCAAATAAGAAAATTGGCAAGAATTTGTGAATTTTTTATTGGCCAAGCATTGGTTGAAAAAGAACTAAAAATTCCCAAGTGTGATAACGGTCTGAAAGTCGATTTGTGTTTTACTTGAGTGTACAATTAAATCGCGCGCAAATATACTTCTATCTGTGCTGCTTTTATTTTTACACGCCGCAAATTGCATTTATATGGCGCAGACACGCAAACGGACTCGCGCAATATGTATTCACATGAGATGAGAGGCATACAGAAGTCATGGTGAAGGAAATTTTGCCCATATCTGAAAGACGCTGTAACCGTTGATTGATGGTGGCAATCACAGATGTACACTCGTGAGATAAAAACCAGGCAGGTAAAAAAGACCAACGATATAAATAACATTGGAAATTAGTCGATGGATATGTAAATTAATTTTAGGCGCTCATTTTTTTCCACCTGGGCTTTCCACTGTAGTTCATTCAGTAAATGTACGCGTTTTTGCGCCGAGAAACAGACAGACAGAGAGAGAGAGAGAGAACGAATGGGCACCGGCGACATGAAGATTAATACTTAATATAATCCATTTTGTGGCAGGAAAAGAAGTTTAAATGCAGGTCACAATTAGAGAGGGAGATGGAAAGTTGGGGCGCAAGAGAAAAACGTGTTAAAAACATTAGTTAATGATAATGATAGTGGTAGATGAAGAAAATCACCGCTAAACAATGTTTCAAATGAGTAAGTTCTCTGAAGGAGAAAGAACATTGGAAAAAATTGCGCATCTTATAAAATAATTTGCTAATTCACTTAAATACGATGGAGGGAGAAAAAAGAGTTTTAGAGATAGAAGAAGGTGGTCGCTGAGTCGGAATACCATCATCTGTTCATTGACTTGAATGATAGGCACTGCCCATAGAGGGAATTCTTCAATATAATTAAACACTTTATTTAGCATATAGTTGAGGGGCACATGTGATTTACCGAAAGGATGAGATACCATGAAGAAATTGTGCAAGCAATATTACTGTTCACTTCAGCGTCAATTAACAGAAGGGGAAAATTATATTCAACTCACCTGTAGTGTTCCTAATACAATTGCCAAAACCGCGAGCACTTGTCGCGTTCGCCAACCCATTATTTGCACCTGGAATCCTCAAATCCTGCCTCAAATCCCTTGAGTCGATTTTGACTCCCGATATATCCGAAAAAGCTTCCACTAATTCCTCTTAGACTAGGAATTCTTAGGAACCTATTCTGGATATGATGTAACGTCTATTCGTTGTGAGCGTCCCACTTTTGTTCGTTGTCGTATCTGTAAAGAAGAATGTGAGAAATGCTATAGTGTCAATTTTGTCGGGTAGCTGAACGAGTTCTTTAACAAAATCCTTTAATTTTCGAATAGAAGTTCCTCAAAACAGATTACTTTAATTTAATTATTCTAGCTTTTGTGTTAATGTTGCATGCGCTCGTACAGGATCCCGCTATTCAATTAAATATTATTGTGAAGCCATGTGTCGTTTAATATTTTTAGATTGCTCGAGAATTTCATTTTTTATGCTGTATGTCACACGTAATAGGTAACTGAATGGTACGGGATGACTGAGAAATTTAATACATTTTCACAAGAATGTGCGTATGTTGTCAACCCTATGGTCCAGAACACGAGCATTGTTGCTTTCATTTTCATTGTGGGAATTTCCGTGATAAGGGAAATAATTGAAATTCTCGTGATACACTAATCACTGGAAAAAAATAACCACTCTTCAACGCACTTTTATCGTGTGTGGCTGAGCTTTTAGCACCTGCACGCTGGAAGTAGGTCAAATATTTCAAGAAATTCGCATATTAAGAGAAATGAGAAATATTGGAGAAGAGCTACACAAAAGATATTTCTGCGACTTGTTTCTAAAACTGTTTTTAACCATTTCCCAATTTTTCGAGAAATACTCGAGAGCGGAGATCGGCTTTCATTGACCGATGACGGAGCGGTCAGTGAAGATCATGTTTTGTGCGCCAAATAAAGAGCCGATCTTATGTTGTGATGCAGACCGAGCACTCTTAGGTGTGTATGGTGTACGAATAATTAAATTAATTGTTTCACAATTGCTAATTAAACACCGGGTATCGGGGATCCCATCTGCGTCTAAAAGCAACCCAGTGAATTGGGAAAGTGTGTCATTGAGTATTCGGGAAATGAACTTGAATGAAAAATTACCACTTTACCACTTTCTTTTGCCGTCTTTTTTATCTCTCGCTCTCACAACAACTTCTTTCACCTCCAAATACCTCTTAATGATCAATTGGATCAATTGTTTTGCTTCCAGAGGCAGGAGTTTAATCCTAAGGCTCTATTATAATCCTTTGGCATGGTCATTGCATCACTCCCTAAAGCACATCACTTGATCACTGTGAACTTATTTTGCAGACACCTTCACTGAGCGTGTCCTAATCGTTTGTCCTTGTGGCTTTCCTCTTGCAGACAATCAACAGTAGGGCGCGAAGATGATGGAAAAGTCTGGGGTGAGATGTGCGACAAGAAGCGCTAAACCCGTAATCCCGTTCACGAAGTCGGAATCCAAATGGGAAAAGCTGAGTGTGTGCACTAAAGACCGTTTTATCATCGAGCAACGAGACGCGGAGAACGTGTTTGTTAACCAACATATAATCCGGATTTAGTTGAGGAGGCACAACAGTGCGCCAGAGGATGGATGCACACTACTCGATCGCCGTTCGTGGTACAACTGAATGGCCAATGCCAGCTCTACCATCCGTGTAGCTCTTGGGATGGATGATCGAGTTGATGTATACCATACAACCTTCTTCGGAGTCACATGAGAAGCAAACCAAGCCATGGGCAAATGGAGAGTGGCCTCGAGAGTGTGATTCTCTCTTTTCTCGGGAAGAGATAGTGGCTGAGAGAGTGTATAAAAGAAGTGAAAAAATGTGTGTGATTCTGTTGGCGCGCGCCCGAGCTCAAAATCAAGACTCTCCTCAACAAAGCGTTTACCTGGTGGTGCTCCACCAAGTGAGAGAGCGAGAGAGATGTGGATACACTCATATGGCGAGAACGGTGTTCCATTAACCTACTGATACAGAACCATCCAACAAAACCAACATAACTTCTTCTGCCGCTTCATGGTCTTGGTCGTCTTCTTCGTCAGCGTCATCTTAGGAAGCAGCAGGTTTGTCATTATTTTACGACATTGCTTCTTGTTCCCTTGTAATTGCCAATTGATAAAAATACACTTACTCGAGAGTGCACCAACTTCTATTGTCCAGCCAAAAGGAATTCAATTATCAACACAACTCACGTTTTTTTTTTATCACAACCCTCCTGTTGACATTGTCGATCGATATGACACCATGAGTGGCCAATTCTAGGCTTATCTCCGTGGCAACTTGAGGCATTCAGATTAAGATTTTTCTGACTGCTAAATTGGCGAAACGACGGAAAATTTAAAAAATCGCTCTAGCATGTCAAGTTTAGATGAAAAACTCTTAGCATTTCTCCATTAGGAAAAGGAATAATGAATGGAATTGCGAATTAAATGTTTTAATTGAGAAAGAGAGAAGGCCACACAACTTGGGGAGATTTCCCCACAAGAGAGTGATTGGGAAGGCAAGAAAAGTGGTATTAGAGGTGTAACGGATTATTTATTTCAGCAAATATGAATTTCACAGTTGAGAGAAATGTATATCGGTTTAAGATGCTCTCGAACATGTACGGTAAATTTCATCTCAATTCACTTTGATATTGTTTATCAATATATAAATAGATATATATAATTTGTCTGTATATATGCTGAGATGCTTTCATTGTGCTTCCTATGTTCGCATTGGTGATTAATTGCGCGTAATTGAGTCGATTTGTGTGGATGGGAGTTAGAGAGTAATTATGCATAATTATTAGATGTTTTCTATTGTAAATGTAAATCTACATGTCTCTGATTTAACCACTCTTTTTATCAGATTTTTATCAGTATTCATCACACATAATTATGTGTTTGATAGCGGACGGACGACTGATTGAATGAATGACTTTTTTCTAATTAGCTATGTACAGGTACTGCATACATATTGCAATCAAGATGTAAATCCTCCAAAGGGAAAATGAAATATTTTGTATGCAATACAAATTAAATACAGTGCGATTATATAAATGAGTTAAAAATTTCGTTTATCTTAGAAAGAAGAAATGGAAAAATCGTATTAGCTGTTCAACTTTCGTTGTTTTTTTTCTAATATGAAGAAATTTGACCATTATGTACATTCTTTGTCTATCAAATAACGATATAACTTGTGTAGTGAACAATTAAAATAAAATGATTTTTGCGAATAATACTGGAATCATCAGAAACATAGAGTGAATTATCTCTAGAAAAGTGTTAAATATCCAATTACATTACCAAATGAGTTGTAGTCTTAAGTACTGATTAAGCATGTATTTGGTTTATGAGTGCATTCAAGTTTTCTTTTAAATTGCCGCAATAAAATTCGTGAAATATTCGGTGTAATTAAGCATGCACGCAGTGTCCAAATATAGACTTCTTTTATTGGTGCAATAATCAGTGGCAGAAGAACACCAATGGAGGAAAGTCGTTCCAAATTGTCGGAAAATGAAGAAGCAATCGTTATTGAAAAAGGGGCAACTGGCAGAAAAAGTTGAATTATTTTGCGTGGTAATTATTTATACATCAAATCACTCACAATATTCTTCTATTTCATACCAAAGAGGGGCAATTTTTCATTCAAAGATAAGGACTTTCTTTCACCTCTCTGGGCATAGTTGCGTATTGTTGAATATCTGGGGTTTGCCTTGAGTGGGAAATTAACCTCGACTCACCGGCACTGAGTTAAATCAGAGGCGTCAATCACGAGTGAAAAAATAAACTTTGGCTCTCCCATCTGAATATATGGGAATTGAGATTAAAGAGGATGGCGGATGGGCATTGAAAAAAGTGGCTTCGATGAATCAAAACTCATCAAAGTCATATTTGATTTGATTATAATTTCGTTGGGATTCCTGACGGTGGAGATGGAAAGGAATGCTCAATTGAACAGAGGAGAGAGATGCTATTAATGGAATCCCTGAAAATATCCACAATTCATCCTTCAAAACATTTTTTAATTAAATGGAACATTATTGAGGAATCACAAAAGTCAGAGAATGGTTAAAAAATGCCAACGGATATTTTTTACCTCGCCTTGCTCCTTCTTATACTCGCATTGTTACTTTTTAACTCTCTCTCGCCTGATGGTCTTCAAAAATTTCAATTTAATTGCTGTAAAGTTATAAGGAGAGTAATGGAAGTGATCATTCCATTGCACATTAGCTAAAATATTAATTATTGATTAATTTGATGGATTTGAGTCCGAATTTTTTTCAATAGATTCTGAGAAGCGCCAATATTACATAATTTATATTCATTACAGTTTTAAAACTTCTTTCTGATAGTTTTCCTTTCTCCTCAATACGGAGTTCTTGCATTCTGCAAAGTTGAAAGGCTTCTCTCATTTCGATTTTCTGTCTTACCCGCTTTTATTATTCAATTTGCCGATGGAAGTAAGAAGCCCCAGACGTGAAATGATATAGAGTGGAAAATTAGCTACGGATACACCATCCGTGGCTAAAGAAGGTGAAGACGAAAAAATCTGAAGATGCTCACCCAGGTCAAATTAAAATTGATTTGGATGTTCTTTTTCACCTCTCCAAGTGTGGCACCTCACGGAAAAATGTGTCTCGTAGTGATTTCTTGTAACGGCTTTCGCTTCTATGATCTTGGAATCAGTCAAAAATGCTACCTTCGGTTCCGGTAGCATCCGTAAAGGTATGTGCGACACGATGTACGAGGTAGCAAAAGGGAAATTCAACTGCTATTGAATAGGGCAGTGCGTCTGGTTCAATCATCCAGAGATGGAATGACGAGGAATAAAAAAAGCCGTAGTAAAAAATTGATCAACTTTCTTCACTGGGAAATGCTGAACGGCTTAATTGATTGCAATTTAAATTGATTTAATTCCACACGAGGTTTGAGTGAGAAATTCGCACAAGTCCGACAATTGATCCGATTATTTTTTAGCAAATTAAATTCGGACGTGATGAAAATACACATAAATAAATGCTAAGTAAATTGAGCTACACATTAGCTACAATCATCCATCACCATTGATCACGATGTGATGAAGAGGCCTTTTTTCTTCCGCGTGCTTTTCTTCTCTTCTTCGTGTGTTCTTCATCATTTTTGCTTTGATACAAATGAAATGAAAGAAATGGACGGATGGCAAGTAAAAAATACACCAAATGAGAGGGAATCGAAGCGAAATACCGAGATGACAGACTTTCCAATGCAATGTATTGTAAAGTTTAGCTCTATTTAGCCATGTGTCGAAAATCTAACGTATTTTTAATTGAAAATCGAGATCTGACGAGAAGATATTTGATTTGGGACAATTGAATACAATGTGCTTAACATTCTACCACTAAATACCTCAATTACCACTTTAAATAATTGTGTCTTTTTCACCATTTTACATCATATCTTCCTCGTACACATTACAACTTTGCCCTACTTTCGCACTTTCACCATCATCATCAGCATAATACTATGAGATGATGTGTTTTAATTTGAACGATAGAACTTGCAAGACAGCTTGTGCGATGTAAATAGGGAAATTATATGGCAATATTTAGTAATGTAATTATGACAATCCACTCAGTGAATAATTATCAACAGTAAAGTACCACACGAAGTTACAACATTGATGCTTTCTCACTGTATTGCATAGGCTGGAAAAATGCTATGTTGGCAAAAAGAGAAAATACAGCAAGGTGGAAAGAAAAGCAAAAGACATTTTCCCGGATTGCATTTCTTACATATCACTCGTCAACATCGCCTTATTTCACCAATGAACATATATGCATTGGCGAATATTCTTGTGTCGTGCTGTTCACTCTCATACCTGTGCCTCCTTGGCGCATCGTTCGCTCAATCTGTTGGATATAGAATTACGGTACCAGCTATTTATATTGTGTGCAAGAAATGTGTGTACACTCGCAAGAATAAAAGAATTAATAAAAACTGGGTTATATGCACTCTTACAATCTTTCACTGTATCAGTAATTGTATCAGTCCAACAATATAGACTTCTTACAGAAGGTTTGAAAAAAGAATTCTGTTATGGAAGTGTCTGCAATAAAAATCAGGATCACTAAGATTTACATTACTACTGAAGTTATCTAAAGAGCTATGTATAATTAAAATAAAAAAATTGTTTTACTTCATTTAATGTTTGTGTTGTTACAGATAATGTATAGAGAAAAGACACAATCACTTTCACTTTTAAATAAGAAGAGTCCAGGAAATTTTCGTATCCAGGAAATTAAAAATATAAATGTATTCAATAAATTAAATAAAAGCATTATTGGTTAAAATAATATAATTGATTTTTTGAGTGCGTAATTATTTTAACATATGATGATACTATGAGGTACAATGGATGCATTATGAAAAAATGTAAACTAATCATTTGTCAGAAACTCACAACGCGGTCAGATAAATTGACTGAGATATATCAGATGGAAAGGTATCAATCATCTAGAAGACTATCAACTCTGCATCCCCGCTATTACATAGTTATGTGAAAAAATATGCCTCCCAACAGCAAATTGAAAACTATCAATCAGTATGAGATACCTAAATAAAAATCTCTGCTGGAATTGCAATAAATGTCTAGTGGTAATTTCACGCTTTTGTCCATGTGTCAGTTGGAGTTCGAGCAATTAATTGGCAATAACTAATTTAACTATCTCACCCGGCATGGAAGTATTAAATTTCCTTCCGCACAAGATATGCCGCCTGTAATTCTTTGGTTGCCCTAAATATTATGCTGGGAATAATGGTGTGAGCCCAACTAATATTTCAGTGATGATGTATGGTTTTCCTAATCTCTCTGTGGGAATCATACCTTTGATGATCGATATTGTTCTGGCGGAAGAATAGAATGATATGGGACGGAAAAGAGGGCAACTATGGTGGGTTGTCTAACCCGATAATGATCACATCAAATAGTTTGGAAAATGTCTCAAAAAGCCACTCATGGGTGAATATGGAGGTGAAGTGCATGTGGAATTGCATGCGAAGTACGTTGCCTCAGAGGAGTTGGATATAAAATGATAGTGTACCTGACGAATAGGTGGAAACCAAGGTGGAAACGAGTCAAAACCATCTTCAATTTGCAATTGTGAGATATATCCAACAGAAGCCATGGCAGAGACTTGCTTACAATGAGAGCAATTATCATCCATTGATCGGTAATGCTATAATAAATAACTTTGACTAGCAGAGCGCATCTCACATCTAGCCACTTAAGAGAGTGAGCGATCTTACGGAGATGCCCACCGCCTGATAACACTTGGCTCAGGGAGTTCTTTTGAGTGCGTGGATCAGCCGTCTTCGCGCGATGCCATACAATTTGGCGCGTTAGATCCCAGCTATTGAGTGTGGCCTCCTCAACGGGAGGAATGTAGGTGAACCAGATGAAGCTGCTGCATATCCAACTTGGTGATTCAAAACACACGCGATTGGCACTGTCAAAGATCGAAGCTCAAGACGAGAGATTCAGATACGGAATTGAAAATTGTAAAAAGTCTCCGGGTATTACTAAAATATTTCGAAATTCCCTAATAATATCATTGCCAATATTAATATACACGCATAGGTATTTCTTATCCTAATAATAGAAAACTTTATTTTCCAATCTCTTTATGTCACAGCTCTGTCCCGAAATGAGGTGCACATGAAAATATTTTGAGATGGAACGTGCCTCTCCTTAGAGGAGTCTTGAGTTCCCAATTTCTCTTTTCGCGCAAAATGTCACTGCAATACAAATTGCATATAAAATTGTATCGTACTGTATACATATATTTTAATGGCAGTCGGTGAAATTCTGGGTGAATCTTGCAATCGCGTTCCTCTCATTGCTTTAACCGCCTTCCTTCCCATTTAATTATTGCAATACATAAAGGAAGACGACCTGCGACAGAGACAAAGTGGAATGCCTCATAAGCATTTTATGGAATGGAGACCCTAATCGCAATTTGTTGGTGCACCGCAGAAAGATTGTTGGGTGTTGTTTGGAAACAATAAT